ATGTCGCTAGTCACGAGAGACAAGTTTGTAGCTTTGGAAATGCAGTACCAAAAGTGACACACGGAATACATCCAAAGCAGCAGAAATTGTTGATACTTAAAGTATAAACCGTCATAATCGGTTCTTCGTTTCAAAATTGAAATACTATATAATAATATGTATAATTTCAACGTACCTTCTATTTCGACATTCTGCTCGCTAGAGGAGTCTGACGTCGAGACAGTTGTGAGGCTGTTCTCCTCACAAACGCTATTGTGTGATAAAAGATCCCTCTTATCCTTCGATGAGAAAAACTGCGTACAAAGAAAGAAAGAATGTTAAAAAATATAACTACATAAATATAATTTGAGGTCAGTCTGAAAATATACAAAAAATTTCATTTCTCCTAAATTTTTACCACGCGATCAGAAAAAACTGTACCCAAAAATAAAAAAAATACATAAAGGTGGTGGCAACATCCTGTATCTAGTTCACATTTTAATATTGGCACCACACGTTTCATTTTCATTCTAGTTATGTAGATCTAAATAAATGTGCATATAACATACGTAGATTAATATAAATTTGCAAGTTTTGTAACTCGCTTGTAAAAACTACGTTATTCGATAATCAAGAAATAAATTTAATACATAATCCATATAAAGTTTTTATATACACTAACTATTGAATATATTTATGTAGTGAAGATATTGAATTAATTATTATTCGTTTTATTTCGAAATTAGCAAACTTAAAGAGAGATAGAACGTACAGACCTCGTCTAACAACTCTAAAAAAAATATTTACTAACTACTTCATTCAAAATTAAAACAATTCAGTAAATTTATAAATTATAATAAAATTATATTTGAACTCACCAATGTTTGAAGTCTCGCAAACATTGTAAGAACAAATAATCACAACTCAATTTACAATATAAATAATTACAAAACTTTACAAAATACTAGTACGTAATATTAACATCGAAGTGTGTAATCGCAGGGCGCAAGGTTCGTATAACTAGTACACGTGTGTACGAGTCGACGTACCGAATGCTTGTGAATACTCAAGCTTGAACTGAAACAACTATACTATGAAGCACGACAAAACTTCAAGCATTAGTGATGACTTATATACTTAGTTGGGCATTGGCAGGAATGTTAATTATTTTTTGTCATTATATATTATTACATTTGGCTAATTATGATAATTCAAGTCGAGTAATAATGATTAAAATTACTTTCTAATTGTCTACAAACAAAAGCATTATGTAGCATTTTAATAGTTTATATTGCAATCCAATTGTTGCGTTTGTCGCAATACAAATCCGATAGTTCTGAAACCGTGAGTGCACAGTTCGACAATATGCGTTCTAAGAATAAAGTCTTCAGACATCAAAACACCCAGATCTCTCAATTATCAAACCAGATATATCAAAGATCTATTAAGGTAATAGAGTGTAATGCATAATTACTATATAAATATTAGTAGAATTGGCAAGAGATTGGCTAGTTTGCCCTCTGGGACTCGAGCTTTCTGGTCTCTTGCCAAAGCTGCACAAGGGAATTTCTGTAAGTCATCTTTTCCACCTTTGCGCAGGGAGGATGACTCGTTGGCCCAGAACGCTAAAGAAAAGGCCGATCTTCTTGGATCCATCTTTGCGTCAAACTCGACATTGGATGACGGGGAGAAACCACCACCGACCATCACGTGTTGTAGGAGCTCTATGCCTGACATTAAATTCACGCATAGCTCAGTGCGTAGAGCACTTTTCTCCCTCGAAATCCATAAGTCGAGTGGGCCTGATGGTATTCCTCCAATTGTGCTTAGGACGTGCGCACCAGAGTTGGCTCCGGTTCTTACGCGTCTTTTTCGGCTTAGCTACTCATCGGGCATAGTCCCAAAGTTTTGGAAGACTGCTCTGGTGCATCCGATCCCTAAAAAGGGAGATCGCTCAGATCCAGCTAACTATAGGCCCATAGCTATCACTTCCTTATTCTCGAAGGTTATGGAATCCATCATTAACCGTCAACTGCTCCGGTACCTAGAAGAGCACCGGCTGATCTGTGATCGCCAGTACGGCTTTCGACAGGGACGTTCGGCCGGTGATCTTTTAGCTTACTTAACACACCGATGGGCAGTGGCAATCGAGAGTAAGGGAGAGGCCTTAGCAGTTAGTCTGGATATTGCGAAGGCCTTTGATCGGGTGTGGCATAGAGCGCTGCTTTCAAAGCTACCTTCATTTGGGTTGCCTGCGAGACTGTGCATTTGGGTCGCCAGTCTTCTCAAGGAACGTAGCATTAAGGTCGTAGTCGACGGTGCATGCTCTGATTTAAAACCTTTGAATGCTGGTGTCCCGCAAGGCTGTGTACTATCTCCGACTCTGTTTCTTCTGCATATCAATGATATGTTACAGATAAGTAATATTCATTGCTATGCGGACGACAGTACAGGAGATACATTATATACCGGTCATGCAAAGATCTCGCGGGCACATACCGATGAGTGCCGGAATAGACTTGTGTCTGAAATCGAAACTTCACTCCATCAAGTTTCGATCTGGGGTGAACAAAATCTTGTCCAATTTAACCCCAAAAAGACACAAGTCTGCGCGTTTACCGCAAAAAAGACGCCGTTTGTCGTATCTCCTCACTTTCAGGGCACTTCCCTCGATAAAAAGTCAAGTCTAGGAATTCTGGGCGTTGATATATCTTGCGACGTCCAGTTTTGCGGTCATCTGGAGGAGAAGGCTAAGATAGCTTCCAAAAAGTTAGGAGTGCTCAATAGGGTGAGACGATATTTCATGCCAGAACACCGCCTGAAATTATATAAAGCCCAAGTCAGGCCGCATATGGAATACTGTTCTCACCTGTGGGCAGGAGCGCCACAGTACCAACTCCTTCCGTTAGACCGCATTCAAAGTCGGGCGGCTCGAATTATCGATAGTCAACGCCTTACTGTCCGACTTGACCCATTGAAACTGCGCAGAGATGTTGCATCTCTGTGCATCTTCTACCGAATTTATCATGGGGAGTGTTCTGAGGAATTGTTCGGATTGATACCTGCTGCTGATTTTCACCACCGTACAACCCGCCACAAACTAAAGTTTCATCCCAATCATCTGGACGAGTGGCGGTCTTCCACCGTGCGTTTTTCAAGGCACTTTCTTCCACGCACAACCATTCTTTGGAATCAACTTCCAGCAGCAGTATTTCCGAACCGATACGACAACATAACCTTCAAGAAAAGAGTATATTCCTTTTTAAAAGGCCGGCAGCACACCTGCAATGCCGCTGGTGTTGTGGGTGATCATGGGCGGCGGTAGTCACTTACCATCAGGTGAGCCGCATGCTCGTTTGCCCCCTGTGTTGTAAAAAAAAAAAAAAAAAAAAAAAAAAAAATAATTAGAAATAATGGCATTTTAATTACGGGTTCTTTGCATTACCCAATACTGCCATGTAATTATAGATATTTAATTTAAAAAATATTAAGTACTAATAATGGCACATAGTCATTTTCTTGTAGTTACTTATTTAGAATATTTGAAGAAACTATTAAATTAACGATATGTACCTATTATTATATGCTTTTTATCAAATTTTTATGATGCCAAATAAATAAAATATTATCATGTATTTTAAGAAGACATAAATGTATGCTTTGTTAGTTGTCCTTAAATAAATAAATAAAAATAAATAGAAGACATCGGTATAAGCAGGAGTGGAGGAGAAGTTAGAAGTGGCAGCACCCAATGGGAATGTTTATATTTTTCCATAGAATTTCACGATATCGTACGTTTTTATCGTCACGATGTAATGGGAGAGTAAAACATATGCATTTGTAAGGAGACGCTTTCAAGCATCACGGCACTGCTATAGCCTTTCCGTGACAGACCTAGGCTCTCCTATAAGATCGCTGCGGTAATTCTGCGCGTGTATTGTGTATGTATATACTATGTGTGTATGCGTGTGGCTGTCTGCTCTTCTGGTCTGCCGCCAGCGGGCTGCAAGTCCGCTCTTCGCTGCTCCTGTACCCCGCGACCTCTTCCACAGACAGTTCGATGGATAAAATAGTCATAAATTTATTGTAATTGTGACCACGTGTTAATTTACTATTGTTGATTGTTGTATTTTATTCTGTTCTGAACTTTAATGGCGATTTCATTGTTTAACTGAAAAATTATTAATGTTATGTAATTGTATTGTGTGCCCGATGTATGGGCAGGCTGTGTAATTTCCTTTAAGACGTTATGAACATCTTACGAACTATTATAATGTACAGCTCACAATAAACATTTATTCTATTGTATTTATTTATTTATAGGATTACCAACATAAGATACAGCTAAACATTTCAATACAATACACTGGTAGATTAGATCTATCTGCATGAAAGGAATCGCTTATATTGATAACGTTGTGCTTTATATCCTCTAAGTAATAGAGAATAGCGAGTGGTATTGTTTTTCTGCTGAACATTCTGCTTATTGCTTTTGTATAGAATAACACAAAATAGACGAGCTTTCTGTTCGTGAGTACAATAACTAGAGTTTATTGCTGAGAGTATCGGTCATTGAATCGTTTTATCAATATTTTGGAAGTGTTTATTTTTGGGACGAGACATATCATAATTAGCAAAATGTAATTATAATATTACATTTTACTGATTTATATTATTTTGCTATTTTGCTAACTATTATATTTTGCTAATTATGACGGAAGCATTTGCTAAAAATGAGCATTACATTTTACAATGACAAAAGATAATTAACATTCCTGCTAATGACCTGGTAATTATGTGTCATTACTAATGCTTAACGCTCTTTTCTACTTTATAGTGTAGTTCAAGCTTGAGTCTTCATAAGCTTTTGGTACGCTGACTCGTACACACACGTGTGCTAGTTATACGAACCTTGCGCTCTGTGGCTACACACTTCGACGTTGATGACATTACGTGGTAGTGTTTTGTAAAATTTTGTGTTTATTTTTATTGTATATTTTTATTGTTTATTTGTTCTCAAAATGTTTTCGAGACTTCAAAAATTGGTGAGTTTGAGTATAATTTTATTATAATTTATAATTTCACTGAATTGTTTTAATTTATAAATGGTTAGTAAATTTTTTTTTACCGTGTCAGTTCCGGCGTAGAACAGGCCACCTCTCAGTTTCCCGTGTGTGTCGTAAGAGGTGACTAAGAGAACTTATGGTTGTGGGATGGGCAGCAGCATCCCTCTTAAAATATCTCAAAATAATAAGGAAAATGATGAAAAAGATGAGGAAGATATTTAGTTATATTTTTTAACATTATTTCTTTTATTGTTCACAGTTTCGTTCGGTGGAGAATAAAGGGGATCTCTTATCCCACAATAGCGTTTGTGAGGAGAACAGTCTCACAACTGTCTCGGCGTCAGACTCCTCTAGCGAGCAGAATGTCGAAATAGAAGGTACGTTGAATATATACATATTACTATATAGTATTTTAATTTTCCAAATAAGCAACCGATTTTGACGGTTTACCCCGTAAGTTCATTACAAACCATTTCTGCTGCTTTGTATGTATTCCATGGGTTTATAGTCAGCTTTAGTACATGCATTCCTAAATTCATAAATATTGGGGAAATTTGTTTGGTTACACATAGAAAATAACATGTGTTGAACTACTATAATCTTTTTTATAAACAGACTAAAAATATATATTCTTTATTGCACTTGTAAGTTACATATAAATTAATGTATTTATAAATGTTGTGAGCAACGGTGGACTTATCTCTGATAGAGTTCTCTTCCAGTCAACATAATACAGTGAGAAAGCATTTCGTTAGCGGGCAGGATAATAAAACTTATTTTTTATTTTATTTATTTCTTTTCAGATAAATCGACGCCGTCAGTGCAGACATCTTTAGAGCCAATTGACGAAGGTCACGCTGCACAATGTTCATGCCCTAACTGCGTTGAAGTTCTATCTAGATTCTCAGAATGCAATATTTGCATGGAACCCTTACAGGTAAAAGACTACAAAAAATTCAACGTGCATCTATAAGAATATAGTTTTAAGTCAATATAAAATTGTCAGAGGCTTTTTACCAATTTTAACATTGGTGGTAACACTCGGATATTTCCAATTTTATCGAGTGTAACAGATGTCAACGTGGCTAGATGTGGTTTATAAAACCAGCAAAAGTTTGTAATACTTTTTGCTGATTTTATAAATCAGCAAAAAGTAGTGATGTGACTTTCCTAAGTACATTAAGTGAACCGACTGCTGTCACGTCTGCCTCTAATCCAAATATTGCTACTTTCAGTGTCGCGGTCCTTGCGTTTGCCCATCGTGCGGCAGTGTATGGTGTACGAAGTGTTCCCGTCGCATGTATCAATGTGCATGGTGCCGTCTTTTATTCCTAAAACCGGTTACACGGTGCCTAGCACTACAGCGGCTGATCAACGATCTCATGCTGCCATGTTGTAATTACAGGTACGATTTTATTAACAATAATAATAAACGTCGCACAATCAGACAATTCGCTTGATCAATGCTAGGACGCCCTGTTAGAATTAGGCAACAAATATCTGGAATCACAATGCAATACGGATACCCAGACCCGAGTAAATTTAGAATAAGTCATTTTCTAAATTGGCCTGACATTGGCCGTTATTACAAAATGCTTATCAACTGCATTCATAAATCCTAAACATTGAAAAAGTTTTTTCTTATAACAATAGCAGGATCTGAGAACATTAAAAAATATTCTAAACATTAGAATTACTATAAACTAATTTTATCCCGTGGTTTCGCCCACGCGAATATATTTGTCTTCTATTTCCGTGGAACTTTCTAAAACTAATCTTTTCTAGAGAATGCTTGTCACGTAACAAAGATATTCGTGAAAAAAATCAGACTTCTAACTCCAGTAGTCTCAGCGAGGCGTTGATAAAATAAATCATTTATTTTTATAGAATGCAGTTGATTACGTGCTAATTTGAGTAAATACTTGTATTTCCTATCCTGCAAGGATTCATGGGAAATGATAACTAGCACATCACTTGAATTATAAAATACGGTTCTCGATGTTTGCCAGAAGTTTCTTCGATTCTGGGTTATTGACGACCAATTATAGAATCGTTTATAGTATAAATTATTCATCATATATTGTTAGACCGGGACAACAAGTAGCATATATCTATCTCCATCACAAATACTACATGTATTCTAAATCTGTGGTAAATAACAAAAAACAGACTCACTAAAATTTTCTTATAATAACATTAATAAGGACTTCCAAATCACAACGAACCAAGTTAATGAAACATTTGTCAACGACAACACGAGACTTACGGTGAATAGAAGTTACTCAACAAACCATAGAACAATCGATATAATATGAAAATAGAGTTAATATATCCCAAGTTAATAGATTTTGAAACTGTATGAACGATCTCCACGAATTAACCTTTAATAAGAGTGTCATTAATAAAATGTGCAGGTATTGATTATTTTAGTTTTCATTAATGTTTTCCCTTTTGCCCACAGCCGAGGCTGCACAGACCTGCTCACAGCTACGACCAGACAGAAACACGAGGAGGATTGTAAATTCGGTGATATGATGTGTCCTGTAACAGAAAATTGCTGTACTATTCCGTTCGAAGAGTTATCAGTACATATTCAGTCAACACATGGCATAACTGCCATGTACTCTCAGGAAATAAAACTTCTACTAAAAAACTCCTATATACCCGATATCAAGGAACCTGCTAGCCGTAGAACTAAATACAGGTACATAATTCTCCTTGACGAAAGCGCTTTTGTCATCAAACTCAGCATTTGCAGCTATCATTTCCGAGTGGATGTGATGAGAAGAAGACTACGACATACAACAGATCCAAAATCGGAATCGAATAGAAGTGGATACTGCGCACTAATAGAATTCCATACCCAGTCCACCGTCGTTAAGAGAATTAAATTTATAGATAATAACACGTATGGTAGGAAAGGCAGTGCGCAGTGGACCTATATTCCAATGGAATTAGAAAAGGAAGACACTATAGAAATCTGTGTAAATATCACAAAGTCCGATACAGAATATTCCTGAAGTAATTATGCCGGATCATAAGATGTTTTATGATATTTTAGAAGCTGTCGAAAGAAATTGTGATCTTAATTGTGATGATAAGACTGAATTTACAAAGACAACTAGTACTGTCTGATAATCATGAGAGATCTTTTCATTTGCAGTGGTATGTTGTGACTGATGTAGTTTTAAGTAATACCTAATTTACATTTAAGCATTTCACTGGAAGAACAAATATAAGTTGTAATATTTTTTATTACCTGTATTTTATTTGATACTTCGTTTCTCATCCCCGGCATGTAAACATTTAGAAAATTTATTTATTGGTGCTCCAATATAATCTTCGTCATCGCACCAGAGGGAGACTTTGTACAAAAGTCGATTGCTTGGGTACCTCTGTCCGATTCGTGTTTCTACCGTGAAGCAGTTGTGTTTGCATGGCTGTGTTTCGGTTTGAAGGATGGGATATGGCGTGAATTTACAGGATACAAAGGAATAATATCTGAGTCCTGAGGAATGGCAACGCATGGGGGGTATCATGGGTGAAACAGTCTACTCTGTTATGTCCATGGTACTCCTCATGTCTATAGGCGACGGTTACCACTTTCCGTCAGGTGGGCCGTCAGCTTGTTTGCCATTCTAAGTTGTATAAAAAAAAATCTTTATATCAGCCGTTACCTGTCTACTGCTGAACATCGGTCTCCGCCATAGACTGCCTTAAGGGACGGACTTTCGTCTTCTATTGTGTGACGGATCACCTATAGTAAAATACGAGTAGCTTTAAACTATATAAGAAGTACACGAATTATGTAATTAAAAACGGGTTTCTCATGAATGGCCGCTAAGGGAAGTGAGTTTTAAAATCATTAAGGTTCATAATAGCGTGCGGGGAAGACATTACCATAAATTAGATATTGACACTAACAAAAAGTTCTTTTGATGTGATTACAATGTGTAGTGGATGCCATAAGAGTTAAATAAATTAAGCAAAAATATATATTTTTGTCATAACCCAATTTCAGTGTACCTTTGGGATTCTAGGGTGTAAAAATAATTCTCACTGTTGTGTTTTTATTTCTTGTATTGGAGAAAACAATATAAAGTATCTATCCATCTATTTCACATTGGAATGAAAGCGGAAACAAGTGAGTTCAATAGCTGAATTTAATTTATGTGAACCTTGACGGTTTTATAATATTGATAGTCTATTTGAAAGGAAATAATTAAATATTTTACTATTAAATAAATTATATTTGTAACATGTTTCAGTTTTAAGTACAGCTTATATTTGAATATCTAAATATTTAAGTTTACTTCTACGTCCAAATTTAAATAGTATTGTAGTAGTACCCTAGCCTAACATATGAGTAATTGCTACTTTTTTTTTGGGTATTCTGTGGGTAAAAGGTAAAAGGTGAGAGCGTGATATTGAGAGATTAGGAGTGTGGTGGAAGATAGATTGGAATGGGAGGTGACCGACGTACCGAGTGCATTATGGGACGTGTTTTGAAGACTGCGGAATAAAATAAGGATAATAACATAACTAGGAGATAGATCTTGGTGTATCGTGATCGATTAAGCTAAGCAGTTTAAGATAACCGATAGGAGAATGTGGAATCCGGTGAGCGTGTTCCATTTTATAACTGCGTAGACACTAATCTTTTGAATGTGATCACAGAACAATATCTGTACTTAATATTTCTTATCAACTATTTTAAAATACATGCTTACTAGAGTATTTGTCATATGCCTAATTATGGCGTTCATAGTAGATTGTATGATTTTACAGCATGTTTGTTTCATATTATTACTCGCAGAAACCACTAGTGCATAATTTTATTATTGTATTGTTTTATAAGTAATTGAGTTTATTAATTTATTACATTGATGACCAAACAACCTTGGGTAATGCGTATATCTTCAAATGCAACCACATTTGAACAAATTTCGACATCAATATAATTCATGTGATGATACGTACTTATGTTATTCTACTCATATACAAAAATCCATTTAGATATTTGTTTGGTAGAGCTTCGTCAACTTGATTCAATGAAGCTAATATAAACTTGGGTTCTATTTATATAAGATTGTTCTTCTTGTTCATTTAAGAGTTTCCTATTGTCGGTGCAACTAATTCATGCATCTTCCTCTAGCCAGCTCTATCCCAAACCATATCCTTTATCTCCCTATAAGACATGAGTGTTTCCTTTATCTGTCCCATGTAGTTAATCCTCGGTCTTCCTTTTTCTCTTTTGCCCTCTATCTTTCCTTCTATTATGCTCTTAAAAAAATCGTCATGTCGTATAAGGTGGCCCAGCATTTTGCCTCTTCTATTCTTTATTATTTCAACCAATGTTCTCTTCTCGTTCACTCTTTTCTTAAGGTTGTTATAATTGATCAAATTTGGAAAATTCTTCAAGTATTAACTATAATGCTATTATAATACTTACATTAAGACTAATTTAAAATTTACTATAAATTTATCTTTTTATGAAGGATAAGCGAACTGATAGGCTGTGGGCTGATCACATAGAAGAGCTGACAACTGATGAGGAGAAAGATTTTAAATACCGACCTTGTATGGACAATCGCAGTAAGGGGCGATCCCATTGGTAGAGTGGTAAACTTGAGTGCATTGCTGAGAGTCGATGGATGCAGGATCTCGGGACCGTCTTTTGTAACAGTCTAGGGGGAATGCCTATGTTCGGCAATGGACGGGTGATAGCTGGGACTATGATAATTATAGAATAATTATATTTTATTACACTATTACAGCGAGGGTTTTGAGTACTTGTTTATGCTTGGCCCTCATGGTCAGATGCCTTCACAGAATTAAGCAGTCATCTGAACTGATGATTCCCTTGTCTACTTCTAATTACCCATGATTACATGTGAGAATTTATTTGTTCGCTTTACACCAAATGTTCCGGTTAACCGCTCCCACCGATAGAATGTAAATAGTCTATGATATTTTTAATAATTTTATAATTGTTTTGATAGTAACAGTTTCAAAATGTTTTAATAGTTATAGTTCCGAATATTTTATAGTTCTTATAAGAATTTTTATACGAAAATAATGATAGAGATAGAAAAAATAGAACAAGACAGGAAATATATAGGAATAGTAATTTGCTATCGACCCAATGTAGTACGGTAACAGGTTGGGTATAGTGGTTCAGATAGGCACAATTTTTATAGTATAGAATTTTAATTGTTTTTTTTTTTATATAGAAATTAAACAAATAGCATTAAAAATATATAAAAAAAAATAAAAATATATAGTAAATAGTACTTAATAGTAATAGATGGAGCGACAATCTTAAAAAAATTGCATGCAGTGGCTCGGGACCGTCTCTTATGGCAGTCCATGGCACAGACTTATGTTCAACAGTGGATAGGTAACGGCTGATATAAGGATGACGACATTAAAATAATCTTTTAAATACTTGCTTTTAAGCCGGGGATAAGCTATGAAGTATAAAAGAAAATACAGATAATAAGAATATATTACAACTTATATTTGTTCTTACAGTGAATTGCTTAAATGTAAATTAGAAATTACTTAGGAGTACATCAGTAACAACATAGTACTGCATGTGAAAGAACCTCTCACGATTATGAGACAGTTCTAGTTGTCTTTGTAAATTCAGTCTTATCTGCAAGAACACAATTTCCTTCAATAGCTTCTAAAATATTATAAAACATCTAACGATCCGGCGAAATCGCTTCTCAAAGATTCTGTATCGGACTTTGCGATATTTACATGCACTGTTATAGTCTTCTTTATCTAAATCCAACGGAATATAGTTCCATTGCAATGCAAGTTGAATGGGTATAGAGCTCTATTAGTGCGTAGTATTCACTTTTAATGGACTCCGATTTCTGATCTGCTATATATCCTAACTTTCTTCTCATACTTGGAAATGTTGTTTGCAAACAATGATTTTGATGATAAGAACGCTTTTGTGAAGGAGAAGTATATATTTGTATTTAGTTCTACAGCGAGCAGGTTTCTTGATTTTGGTACAAAATTTCTTCATAAGGATTTTTATCTCCTTTTGTGTACATGGCAATTATGTCGTGTGTTGACTCAATATGTGTAAATAATATAAAATATAATTTAATTTAATTTCAATTTAATATGGAATGGAATGAAAATCAATGGAATCAGCAATTTGTTTTTACAGAATGTATCCTGATGTGTCATAGTATTGAATTTACCATCTTCATCGTGCTTCTTTCTAGTAGTAGATGTGAGCAGGTCTGTGCAGTCTTGGCTAGAGACAAAAGAGATACAACATTTATGATACTTTTTTGTTTTTACATAGTTTTCCTAATGGGTTTAACTTGAGCTAGACAATGTTATGTTGTCCCAATATGCTACCCAACATAGAATTAATTCGATTCGCTTTGTATTTATAATTTATCTAGACATTTGAATATATTTTATATGGCCGTAGAAGGACCGCAACTACTATTCTTGTTGACTACTCTATACACAGATTAACTGTGTATAGAGTAGTCAACAATGAATATTATCTATAAATGATATTAACATTTCCATTGACTAAGTAATTTTAGACAAAGATTTAAAAAAGTAAGTTTTTTGCTGGCTCTTCTCAGTAAATAACAACGTTCCGAACTTTCTAATAGAAAAAATATAACTATTTAAAAGTGCTTGTAAACAATACTATTTGAATAAAGAATTAGAATTTAAACCAAATAAGTAACAATAAATGACTATGTTTATAATGTATCTACTACATGTATATTTATTAAAAGTTCAACTTTAAACAAATATAATACGAATTTATTTTGGTTTTATTTTTGTAAACTTTATATCTTCTTATTTTATCAATTATCATAAAATTTTGATTTTTGCCTGTTTATTTTTTAATTTGGAACGTTTTACTTCAGATTTTAAATGTAGTTTTCAAGTTTAAATGTAGTTATCTGTAGATATTTATTGTTTATAATTTAAGATTGCAAAAGTTAATTAATGACCATCAGCAGTAGGCTAGGTAAAAAATCGTAATTTATTATTAACTCTCAAATATAATTATTTCCATAGTTTGGAGGTAGTGCCTTATACATACATACTTCGGATAAAACGTTAAAATACTTTTTTCTCTATATATACGACATAAGGAATATCGTAGAAATAATTCTCAACTTATGATATACTTTGAAAAGTTATGTTTTACAATGAACTAATTTTTTTATTTATACCAAATACATATGTATATCATAATGTAATTTATTTGTTTGCTGTCCTCGTTCATGATGTCACGCAGAGCCACCACAGAATATCAGCAGTTCTAACAGGTGTCCTAGCAATTATCAAGCGATTGAACTGATTATGCGACACTTATGATTATTATTAATAAAATCGTACCGCTAATTACGACATGTCAGCATGAGATTTTTGATCAGCCGCTGTAGTGCTAGGCATGGTGGAGCCGGTTTTCGGAATGAACGACGGCGCCATGCACATCGAAGCGACGGGAATACTTCGTACATCAAACACTGCCGCAAGAAGAAACGTAAGTACCGCGACACTGAAAGGAGAAATATCTGGATTAAGATCAGACCAGGCAGTAGCCGGTTCACTTAATGTATTTAGAAGAGTCACATCTCTACTTGTAACAATTTTTTTAGTGATTTTGTGAAATACATCTAAAGCGGAATACATGTGAGTGCTTCCTTAATGTGTATATTAGTTTGAGTGTCAGGTAAATTCATAACAAAGGAGTGGACCAAGTATGGAGCCCTGAAATACTTCCTATTCAAATGACATTCATTCATGTATATATACATATTAATATATTAAAGCAACGCGTAGGAGCTTGAATAATATTGTTTATCATATGTTTCTTGCCCCGTTGACATCTGTTATGCTCGGTAAAATATGGGAAAACCGAGTATGATCACCAATGCTAAAATCGATAAAAAACCTCTGACAATTTTATATTGACCAAAAACTTCATATTTTTGTAGTTGATTTTTTTTTGTAGTTTCTTACCTAACTTCATCGCTGTCGGGGTTTGAACGCATTGCAGCGTGGCCTTTGTGTATTGGTTCTAACGTTGTCTCCACTAACGGCGGCGATTTATCTAAAAAGAAAAATCAGTTTAAATATGCTGACGCACAGTTTTTGTCCACTCATAAGGAAGGTACTTCGTCACATATTATTTTCTATATGTAACTAGAGCACTTCCCCCAAAATTATGAATATATTATTTACGTACTACCTATTATAATTGTGATATTATATAATGTTTTATTCGTGTTTCGTCACCAAGCAGTCGTTTACATAGTTTGAAGAAAAGAAAAGATTAAAAGATAAACATGCAAAATACTAAATAAATGAATGAACTGCATCTTTGATGTCTATGATGAAGTAAATGGTTACCATTTCGTATCATGTGTTATTTATTCTTATTTTAAGATTTATATGATATTTAGATGAATCAACAAATATTTGGCTTAAATCTTTATATGTTCATTTGGTTTGATAATATATCAGTCATAAATAAAACTTAGTTTTCAAAAATACATAAACTTTTATTTCTCTAAATTAATACAAGTGAACCCTGATTTATAAGTTCAAATATCAACATATAGAATAACAACATCTACACACACACTTTACGAGCGATGCACAAATTTGAACAAAATTAAAGATTTTTATAAGTTTTTGGTACCTACATGACGAAAAGTGAATATGCTTTAAAAATACATACGACCATAAAAAATCGACAAATTCAACATAAACGCAATGATTCAGAAGGACATTCCCTCCTCTGTAGTGCATGTCGCTAGGAACGAGAGACAAGTTTGTAGCTTTGGGAATGCATGTACCAAAGGTGACACACGGAATAAGCAGCAGAAATTGTTGATACTTGAAGTGTAAATCGTCATAATCGGTTCTTCGTTTCAAAATTGAAATACTATATAATAATATGTATAATTTCAACGTACCTTCTATTTCGACATTCTGCTCGCTAGAGGAGTCTGACGTCGAGACAGTTGTGAAGCTGTTCTCCTCACAAACGCTATTGTGTGATAAGAGATCCCTCTTATCCTTCGCCGAGAAAAACTGTGTACAAAGAAAGAGAGAATGTTAAAAAATATAAGCATATAAATATAATTTGAGGTCAGTCTGAAAATATACAAAAAATTTCATTTCTCCTAAATTTTTACCACGCGACCAGAAAAAAACTGTACCCAAAAATAAAAAAAATACATAAAGGTGGTGGCAACATCCTGTATCTAGTTCACATTTTAATATTGGCACCACACGTTTCATTTTCATTCTAGTTATGTAGATCTAAATAAATATGCATATACGTAGATTAATATAAATTTGCAAGTTTTGTAACTCGCTTGTAAAAACCACGTTATTCGATAATCAAGAAATAAATTTAATACATAATCCATATAAAGTTTTTATATACACTAACTATTGAATATATTTATGTAGTGAAGATATTGAATTAATTATTATTCGTTTTATTTCGAAATTAGCAAACTTAAAGAGAGATAGAACGTACAGACCTCGTCTAACAACTCTAAAAAAAATATTTACTAACTACTTCATCCAAAATTAAAACAATTCAGTAAATATATAAATTATAATAAAATTATATTTGAACTCACCAATGTTTGAAGTCTCGCAAACATTGTAAGAACAAATAATCACAACTCAATTTACAATATAAATAATTACAAAACTTTACAAAATACTAGTACGTAATATTAACGTCGAAGTGTGTAAATGCAGGGCGCAAGGTTCGTATAACTTGTACACATGTGTACGAGTTGGGGTACCGAACGCTTGTGAAGACTCAAGCTTGAACTGAAACAACTATACTATGAAGCACGACAAAACTTCAAGCATTAGTGATGACTCATATAATTAGTTGGGCATTGGCAGGAATGTTAATTATCTTTTGTCATTATATATTATTACATTTGGCTAATTATGATAATGTCATGTAATAATCATTAGAATTACTTTCTAATTGTCTACAAACAAAAGCATTATGTAGCATTTTAATAGTTTATATGCAATCCAATTATTGTGTTTGTCGCAATACAAATCTGATAGTTCAGAATCCTTGAGTGCACAGTTCGACAATATACGTTCTAAGAATAAAGTCTTCAGACATCAAAACACCCAGATCTCTCAACTATCAAACCAGATACAAAGATCTATTAAAGTAATAGAGTGTAATGCATAATTAGAGATAATGACATTTTATTTACGGGTTTTTTCGCATTACCCAATACTGCCATGTAATTATAGATATTTAATTTAAAAAAATATTAAGTACTAATAATGGCTGAGTCATTTTCTTGTAGTTACTTATTTAGAATATTTGAAGAAACTATTAAATTAACGATATGTACCTATTATTATATGCTTTTCAATGAAGTTTTATGACGCCAAATAAATAAAATATTATCATGTATTTTAAGTAGATATAAATGTATGCTTTGTTAATTGTCCTTAAATAAATAAATAAAAATAAATAGAAGACATCGGTATAAGCAGGAGTGGAGGAGAAGATAGAAGTGGCGGCAACCAATGGGAATGTTTATATTTTTCCGTAGAATTTCACGATATCGTACGTTTTTATCGTCACGACACAATGTGAGAGCAAAACGTATGCATTTGTATGGAGACGCTTTTAAGCATCACGGCACTGCTATAGCCTTTCCGTGACAGACCTAGGCTCTCCTATAAGATCGTCGCGGTAATTCTACGCGTGTATTATGTGTATACATAATATACTGTGTGTATGCATGTTCCTGTCTGCTCTTCTGGTCTGCCGCCAGCGAGCTGCGAGTCCGCTCTTCGCTGCCCCTGTACCCCGCGATCTCTTCCACAGTCAGTTCGATGGATAAAATAGTCATAATTATATTGTGATTGTGACCACGTGTTAATTTACTATTGTTGATTGTTATATTTTATTCTGTTTTGAACTTTAATGGCGACTTCAGTGTATAACTGAAAAATTATTAATGTTATGTAATTGTATTGTATGCCCGATGTATGGGTAGGCTATGTAAATTTCCTTTAAGACGTTATGAACATCTTACGAATTATTATAATGTACAGCTCACAATAAACATTTATTCTATTGTATTCTGATTACCTGCACGAAAGGAATCTTTTCTTTTATTCTTATATTGATAACGTTGTACTGTATATCCTCTAAGTAATAGAAAATAGTTCGTGGTATTATTTTTCTGCTAAACTTTCCACTTACTGCTTTTGTACAGAACAATACAAAGACGAGTTGTCTATTTGTTTGTAAGTACAATAACTAGAGTTTATTGCTGAGGGTATTAGTCATAGAATCGTTTTATGTAGAGAACGAGTTATTTAAGTTTTTGTATGTAGAGTTTTGGATGTTTTTACTTGCTGAATTACGTTAAAATATCCTTCGGTATCTTATTATAAAATATAATGCCATGTGCGTGTGTGTAAATGTACTTAGCTAATACATACGCTACTATGAAGTACTATGCTAGCGTATCATCATCATACGTGTTATCATCATCATCATCATATCACCCACAGTTTCTTTTACACTACATCTTGAAATAGAGGGTGTGGTGATGAATATGATTGCCAATGCCTACTTCTAATTGCGTTTGGTCGCAACACGTGGCATATAAATAACTTGCTCGTCGTCGTCGAATCGTCCTTTTTTCACCTTAATTCTAGTGGAAATCATCACGATGAGCTAATTGACCTGCTTTCATTGTCACCTATCATCCTTCACTGGTATCCCGTCAGCGTATACCGATAGCGCAGCCGGGGTTACCATACCATTATCCCCAATAAAAAAAAAACACGTGGCATATGAATGACTCGCTGTCGTCGAATCGTCCTTTTTTCTCCTCTGGAGAGGTGAAACTCTCCATTGTTGGAGAGTCTCTCAGTGAATTCATAAAGTGTTGTATTGTGGTAGTTATACCAAGTGTATTTGAATTAGTAGTAATAATAGGATCACGATATTGTAAATCTAACACTAATTTCGCCAGTACTAAATCTGCTCAATGCGTAGAAACTTAGTATTAATTGATTATTACTGATACCTATTTTCATTTAAATAGTTTAAGGAACTTGTTCATTGTTAATTAGTAATAATTATAGATATTTCAACCACGTGTCTAGTTACTTAAAATATCAGCCTTTAACTGCCCACTGCTGAACATAAGCCTTCTGCCAGTAGTTGCCACGCTTGACAAGTGAATTGGCAACTGTAATTAGCATTAGAGATGTTTTAAGAGAGACGCTAGTGCCCATCCCTCGCCCTCCCGTAGTTGCCTCTTACAACACACACGGGAAAAGAAGGGTTAGTCTATTCTATGCCAGAACCACATGGGCTATGCTAGCGTATACTTTATTATTATTAAGGAAGTGGCAAATGAATTTACCGTTACTCTCTTGTTCTCTGTCTTGTTTTTTTCTAAGCGAGGGCTGACCGAATCGATTCTATTGATTCGTTTGCCATTTATCTACAAGTCGTTGTATTGTTTACTTTGCCTTTCTTTGGGTCCTTGTGAATTACGGACATTGATACTGGGAACTGTAAACGATCCTAAGCCCACAAGTCTGAATATTCTGTACCTGCTTTTGCATAGAAATTTAAATTTATTTACATGAGAATATAAAAAAAAAGTGTGTAGTCCAGCCGTTTCTTCGGCGTCGAAACAGCTTCGACATAGAGGGCTGCCTGTGGCTCCTATTGTGTATAAATGTTTGTTTAATGGGCAATGGGCCGTTATTGTCCCTATCATTATTTTGAGGTTTTTTCTATCTAGATGTAATAAACGTTTTGATAGTCGTTGGTTCAACATAGGTACGGCCAATTTTATTGTCTGCAATCAGTAGCCTGTATCCATCTTTGGTTTTGTTTGTCAGCGGATCTTTGACGAATCCATATTCGAAATTGCGAGAACGGAAGAGGAAGAAGTGGATACGGGCCTGCCACCCTCGTTCCTGAGCCTCTTCTAGCTAGTTCGTCTGCGGCATCGTCACCATAAGATCCACTGTGCCCTCTTATCCATTGGAGGATAACTCGGTTATTAGAAGATATCTTCAGTGAATGGTGGCATTCAATTATTAATTTGTTGTTTGTCTTGTTGTTTCGTAATGCTTTTAGTACTGCTGCGCTGTCAGATAAGAATCTAACGCCAATACTATTATACCAATATTCCTAGCTTATGTACAGCTGCAGCAGCCTCGGTTATTTCAACACATGTTAATGTTAAATCAATTTATTACATGCAAAAACTACTGGTTAGAATATGGTGCTGCTTTCTCTACCTATGAACTAAATAAAATCAGTGAATGGTTCATATTTTTTTCAGTATCTTTAACTTTAAATAGCATTAGTAGTTATATTTATGATTATATTATATAAATGTATAAAATAATCATAAATACATTGTAATTCGTGACCACGTGTGAATTTATTGGTGAGAAGGTTGTAACAGTTCGTGGTATTGTTGTTTTGCTAAACTTTCCACTTACTGCTTTTGAATAAAATAATACAAAGTAGACGAGCTGTCTATTTGTTTGTGAGTACAATAACTAGAGTTTATTGCTGAGAGTACCAGTCATTGTACGGTTTTATGTAGACAACGAGTTATTTACATTTTTGTTTGGATAAATTTAAAATGTTTTTATAAGAGTTTTAGATGTTTCTTACTCACTGAATTAAGTTAAAATAGCTAAATAACTTTAAACTTAGTAGAAGCCTATATATGTATAAATTCCTGTATATGTATAAATCTCTGTAAATTCCATAATAAATTATAAAAGATCGAAAACTTCCGCCAGAGACTGTTTACTTTCTGTGTATAATGAATCCAATGACATAATGAATATTAATAACTATTTTTCAAACATTGGTAAGCAGTTAGTAGACAATATAATAGAATCGAATATACATAACCAGTCATTAAACAATTTTAACATTCCTTCTAACCCGAACTCGATTGTATTAATCCCACCAGATGAAATAAAGGTTATGTCTCTTATAAATGGTCTTAAAAATAATTGGCTTCTAAATTTAGACTATGATCGGACGGAATTACTATTGAATTGACACTTTTGTAAATTAGTAACTATGAGTAGCTTATAATACAACATCATAGGCGTAATGCTACTTATTCTTAAATTTACATATACACACTCCTACACATCCATCTTTTCTCACATATACATACACTTATACATAACCTATTCATATGTCATATATACACACGCACACACATCCACACACACACACACACACACACACACACACACACACACACACACACACACACACACACACACACACACACACACACACACACACACACGCATACATTTTTATCACAACTTCACTGAACCCATAAATTATTGTTTTTCTAAAATTATGGGCTCCATTGTAATTTTTGTTTTTGCATTTGTTACTTCTCTGTTTCATATTGTTTCACTAAAAATGTCCTGAAACACAGGTTTTTTCATACCTACCTCGGGAGTTAGGGACTTCAAATTATATTGTAACAAAGAGTGAAATAAAGATTATTTATTATTATTATTATTATCAAGCCTTGAATTTACAATCCTCCTCGTGTTTCGCTCTGGTGGCAGCTGTGAGCTGATCTCTACACCCTCGGCTGGGAACAAAATGGATAAAATATTAATGAAAACAAAAATAATCAATACCTGCACTTCTTATTCCAGGTTATTACGTGAAGATCGTTCAAACAGTTTTGAAGTCTATTAACCTGGAATATATCAACTCCTTTTTTATATTTTTTATTATTATTACTACAGTTGTTAACTGTCCACTGCTGAACCCTTGATAATCCTCCCCGTCGAGGGTTTTGTCAGTAGTTGACATGCTTGGCAGGTGGGTCGGCGACTACAGTTAGGCTTTAGATATGTTTTAAGAGGGACGCTGCTGCCCAACATTTGCCCTCCCTTAGTCAATTGTTACGACACCCAGGGTAAAGAAAGGGGTGACCTATTCTATGCCGGGACCATGCAGTTAATAATAATAACAAACATACTTAGGTTAAAACATTAAATTAAAATACTTTTATATCTATACATACGACATATGGAATGTTGTAGAAATATTTTTCAGCTTATGATATACTTTGATGATTTTGTAGCCAAGCCAATAACTGGTGTTAGTAAAACTTTATTGGTCAAATAAAAAGCCCGGCTCCTTTTGAGCAGAAGGTGTTTGATGAGGAGTGAGAAAGATGTATGCTACTTATTGACCCCCTCCAAAAATGTATCATGACTAAAAAATATTAAGCTGTTAGCACGTAATCAAAGATATTCTATAAAAATAGATTATTTATTATAGCAACGCCTCGGACCTCAGACCTCGCTATTGTTGTAAGAAAAAACTTTTTCAATGTACATAGGATTTAAAATTTATGAATGCAGTTGTAAAGCATTTTGAAATAACAGCCAGTGTCGAGTCAATACAGAAAACTATATATATAATATAAAAAAAATCTAGATTGATTCGGGTCTGGGTATTCGTATTGGGTCGTGATTCCAAATATTTGTTGCCTAGTTCTAACAGGGTGTTCTAGCACTGATCAAGCGATTGGTCTTATTGTGCGACACTTATTATAATGGTTATTATGATTATTATTAATTAAATCGTACCTGTAATTACGACACGGCAGCATGAGGTCATTGATCAGCCGCTGTAATGCTAGACATGGTGTAGCCGGTCTTTGAAATAAATGATAGCACCATTTACATTGAGTGGTGCGGCGGGAACACTTTGTACACCATACAGCACCACACATTGGGCAAACGCAAGGACCGCAACACTGAAAGGAGAAATACCTAGATTAGGAGCAGACTAGGCAGCGGTCGGTTCACTTAATGTATTTAGGAAAATCACATCTCTACTTGTAACAGTGCTCGTGAAGACCTTGTCTGAACAACTACAATTTTTTTAGATGTCAGCTTCAAAAATCCACCAATAAGGACGACATACTAGAAAACCTTTTATGTAGGACGTTTGTATGTTTCAATTTTGTATATATGAAAGATGATGCTTTTCGGGAGTAATAGAATAGAATTAAAAAAATCCCGTTGTTTAATTATCTATGTTATTTTAACAAGTTCGCATACCGTGACCTTTGAGTCCAAACTAGATCACGAAATTATTTTTATTTCTTTTAACATTTATTATGCTCTGTAAAATATGTGAATAACCGAGTGTCACCACCGATGTTAAAATCGATAAAAAGCCTCAAACAATTTTATATTGACCAAAAACTTTATATTCTTGGAGATTCACGTTGAATTTTTTTGTAGTTTCTTACCTGCAAGGGTTCCATGCAGATACCGCATTCTGAGAATCTTGATAGAAGTTCATTGTAGTTGTGGCATGAACGCTGTGCAGCGTGACCTTCGTCTATTGGCTCTAAGGGCGTCTCCACTAATGGCGGCGATTTATCTGAAAAGAAAAATAAGTTTTATTATGCTGACGCATATTTTTAGTCCACTTATAAAAAAGTTTATAGTAGTACCACACATTTTATTCTATATGTAACTACAGGAACACCCACAAAATTTATAAATATATTATGTATTTACGTACTACCTATTATAATTGTGACATTATATAAAGTCAGTTTCATTCGTGTTTCGCTACCAAACAGTTATTTGCAAAGTTTGAATAAAGGAATAAATTAAAAGATAAGGATTAGTAGAAGAATGAATTTTATCTTTCACGTGTTGTTTATTGTCATTTTAAGGTATGACATTTAAACTAACTTATTCGAATATTTATACGTTTAATTGGAAATTTTATCAATCATAAATATAACTTACTTTCCAAAGAAATTGTGAATTTCAATTTCTCGAGATTTATGTAACTGAAACCTTATTTATAAGATTAAATATTAACGTATAGAATATAAAATCTGACTAAAATATACTTATTTACTAGCCTGCGTTAAGACTATTAATACGTAAGTCTTACAGACTTATAACAATTATTTGTATTAATAATGATAGTCAAGTCACTTTGATGGATATTTAACTAACGTTAGTATTTATACGCTTTGTTAGATTCTTGAGCACTAAGTATGGTCTGAGAAGGAAATTTCATAGGTATGAATTAAGACTTAATTACTTAAATATTAATTCTCTTATAAATGTAAGATCTATATCTAATTTCATCACTCTCTATAAAATAATAAATTATAAATGGGGTACTAGCACATTGTTAAGCCTTGTTTCATTTCGTACATGTAATAAAAGTATACCAAAATGGTTATATATAACGATTTGTAATAATAATATATCGTATCATAATCCAATTATACACGTGTGCGGAAAATATAACAATGTATGCAAGAACCTTGATAGTTTCCAACAATCCTTGCAATGTTACATTAACGCCGCCAATTTGTTCCTTTAAATTTATAGTCGTCATTCTTTTAATGTATATAATATCGAATGTCATGCAGAGCAGTTATTGGAGTGCAAATTTGATGCTGTTTTCTGTAATATTTATTTTACTAATATTTTAATCTGTAACTTGTTGCCTTGCTATAGATATTATTTATTTATAGCATCGTGTCGACTATGGCTCATATAATTGTATTATATTTCTATTTGTTTAGTTTATTATTATATTTGACTCGTTAAACTTCCAAATGAAACGTAGTGTCCTAGTGAAATATTTTGATCTTACTTAAACCAGAAAATTGACTTGCAAAGTATTTTATATTAGTATTTGGTTGTGATATTTATTTAAATTTTCTACATTGTAACATTGACTACTTACCTTCTATTTGGACAGCCTGCTCCTTAGAGGATTCTAACGCCGAGGCAGTTATGAGAGTGTTTTCTTCACAAACGTTATTGTGGGATAAGAGATCCCTCTTATTATTCGCCGAGTTAAACTGTGGACAATAAAAGAAATAACGTTAAAAATATAACCATATAAATATAATACGAGGCCAATCTGACAATATACGAATTTTATTTATTTGTTTTAAATATTTTTATGAAGCAAAATTTACTTGTCTGTGTCGAGTTTCATTTCCTTTGCTGCTTCTTATGCCTCTATTATGTAAAACAAACGGATAAATTCTATATAAATTAATATACATAACTTGCTTTTGTGATATTAACCAATTGAGCTTATTGAACACTCGCAAAACCCGATTGCAATTATCATTTGAACTCAAATAGTACCAGTTTATTTGTGTAATAACGTTTATAACAACCCACGCAGTTGATTTTCTTGTTTTTGTTTTTAAATTATATATTTTTTTTTAATAATAAATATAGATAAATACATATATGGATTGTTTCCTCCAATATGTTTCAGTAGTAAACGCGTTATAATACACAAATACACACTAATTAGCAACAACTGCAAAAAAAATATTCACTACTTCATGCTAAATTAAAACAATTCAGAAAAATTATGTATTAAAGTAAAATTATATTCGAACTCACCAATGCTTGAAATATTGAAGACATTTTAAAAACAAATAATCACAGCAGTGATAATACTTGGTTCACAATACAAATAAACACAAAACTTTACAAAACACTAGCACGTAATATCAACGTCGAAGTGTGTAACCACAGGGCGCAAGGTTCGTATAACTGGTACGAGAACATGTGTACGAGTCGACGTACCGAACGCTTGTGAAGACTCAAGCTTAAACTGAAACACTTTAAAGTGCAACAAAACGCCAAGCATTAGTGATGTCTCACATAATTAACAGAAGTGTTAATTATCTTTCAGAAGCGTTTTAACTTTCAGTTAGGGTTATTAAAGACTAACAATATTCTGCAGTTTTGCTCGCGTGAATGAGTACTTAAAATATCTTATCTGCTATGTTAGGATATATTCTACAAGTGTACCAAATTTTATTCGAATCCGTTTCATAGTGTTTGCGTGAAAAACTAACAAAAATTCATCCATCAACCTTACAATTTATAATTTTCGCATTTATAATATTAATAAGATTAGGATACTTATTTAGTTTCTTTCACTGCTGAACATAGGTCTCCCTCTATTGGGAGGGTCTGCCAATAATCACCACGATGATGTTTTAAGAGGGACGTTGAATAGTTGAAATCATTTATTCAAATAAACTTACATTGAAGCTTTGATGATGTTTTTTAATTTAGGGACGTTGCTATCCAAGAAGAACATGCGTGATGCTCTTTTAAATAATTTTATTATTATTTTACATTTTTAAGTTTAATTGTGTGAATACAAACCACCAATTAGCACTAATTCAATTAAATACTCAAAAATCCAACTGGTTAAACAATTAATAAGAGGAAATCAGCATAGTGATTAGAGCAGACCAGTCCCTACAAGCAGCACCCGTTCAAGTATGTCTCACTGCGCTCGACCATATTTTAATACCAACATTTTATGACCACGTCAAAGTACTCACAATTGCCATCTGATAGTTATAGTATTCAATAAGAATACAATTAATACAAAAAACCGCTCATATTTCTAAAATTAATCAATTAAATCAAGAAAGCAATGAGAAAATAAAATTATAACGTTGTTGCTAATAAACTAATTATTTACTTGATATGTTGTCATCTATGAATTCGATTCTGTAATAGTCGTTTAATATAAGATTTGAATGGGGCTCTGTCAGATTTAATGCAGATTCCGGCAGTTTATTATAAAATCTTATGCAATTACCATAGAATGAATTACTGATTTTGTGCAGACGCATTTAGGTAAAATAAGCCGTAAGTTTCTACTTGTACAGTCTCAATTTAAAACTCGCTAAGTTCTTCCGTGTATCATAATATTTTCATAAATGTATTGTGAAGTAACTGTGAGGATCTTTAAAGCTGACATATTCTTGAAATACTGTCATTCTCTTTGTTTTTTATATCCATTTTTATGCTATGGAAATAACTTATACTATCTTTAATTGCTAATTCTTCTAATTGCATATGCAGAAAATCTACTGGCCAATTTTGAAATATGGGGCCCCCATTGTAATCGAGTCCGCCTAAAAAAACTGTATCATTAACAAAATTTACTATTTCGTCATTAAGCAATAACTGTGTATTTATTATTCTTACATTAGGAAGTGTAAATTTTATACACTTTGTTTTGCTGGAATTTAATAATAGGTTATTACTGTAAACCTTTAATATTGCAGACATAGCACATACATCGTCTAATTGATTACTTTGACGTCCAATTTTAAACATATTCATCCGCAAACACCTATTCTGCAATTTTCTCTACCATAAAGAATATTTTAAAAAGAGAAAGGAAGTTGATTTATTTTATGAGATTTTAGAATATCTACAGACATGTCATTATCTCTTATATTAACTAAATGTGATTATAATACCTTCCCAAGATTCGAAAATACATTAGCGCAACACCTGCGTCAGTGGTAGACTTGCCGGCGGTGAAACCATATTGCTGACTGTGAAGCAGTCCGTTATAATTTGATAACATTATCTTTTCAAATATAATTATATTTTTCTAATTTAAATAGTTTATGACATTAAATGTAAAAACGCCATTATCAATACATTTATTAAAAATAGTGGCTAATAATATCTATAATTTTTACAGACATTACATTTTTTACATTTAGCTGTTTGAATATTTTTATGATAACAAATGATAAATAAAGAACAACCCGATATTAGTCTCTAGCTAATGAGTCCAGATTATCAATCGGATGAGTCATATACTAAATGCATAATTTAATGTAAATTGATTACAATTTTAGATCGTTCTTTATTTATAATGCTGATGGTTTTAATTTTGTCAGAAGACTGCTTAATTTGTTTATTAAAATAATTAGACTTAGTTCAAACTTTTTTAAAAATTTTAGAATAATTTTTTACATTGAGTCTTCATAAGCAAACAAAATATTTCTACTTTTAAGTTTGGTACTGTTGCCCATTCCGTGAATTTAGATTTAACATGAACTACATATTCACGGATAAAATATTAATTAGCTTGGTGTAAAGATTTTGGTGTAAAGAAGTTGCTACCCATGCCTCAACCATTAAGTTCCCTTAGTCGCCTCTTACAACATCTACGGGAAAGCAAGAGGTGGCCTAATGTCTAATAAATAAATAATGAGTCAGTGGACTCAATACCGTACATTTCTCATAGTAAAGTGCTGTGACAGCGATTCTTGTCGAGATCCTGGGGCTTTTAACATCCGGAGACCTCGCCCGCCGCTGCCACTTCTCAATCTTTCAAGGTATTGTGCATCCACTCATATTAAACTGTCATTCTTTTGTTTTCCATTTTGCAGGCAGTTCCTATTTTCTTTACCAGAAAATCGTGCGAATCCTCCGCGCAAATTCAGTACATTTAAATTTTAGGTATCCACTCTGTACCTATGCCGCAATACATTCATATTCATCCGCAACACCATTCCGAATATTTTGGAAGTATTTATTTTTGAGACGAGACATGTCATAATTAACTAAATGTAATTATAATATTAGCTCATACATAGCAAATGCTTACGTCATAATTAGCAAAATATAATTATATTTTTCTAATTATGACGTAAGCATTTGCTAATAATAATAATTTTGAGCTTTACATTTTACAATAACAAAAGATAAATAACACCCCTGCTAATGCCCTGTTACCTATGAGTCATTACTAATGCTCAACGTTCTACTGTACTTTACAGTGTAGTTCAAGCTTGAGTCTTCATAAGCGTTTGGTACGCCGACTCGTACACACGTGTTCTAGTTATACGAACCTTGCGCTCTGTGGCTACACACTTCGACGTTGATATTACGTGCTAGTGTTAGTGAATAAAGTTTTGTGTTTATTTGTATTGTGAACCGAGTATTGCCACTGTTGTGATTACTTGTTCTTAAAATGTTTTCGAGACTTCAAGCATTGGTAAGTTGGAATATAATTTTATTATAATTTATAATTTTACTGAATTGTTTTAGTTTATAAATAGTTAGAAAATATTTTTTTTCGCCGTGTCAGTTCTGGCATAGGACCGGCCACCTCTTCCTTTTCCGTGGGTATCGTAAGAGGTGACTAAGGGAACTTATGATCGTGGCATGGGCAGCAGTATCTCTCTTAAAATATCTCAAAATGAAGAGAATGAGGAGGAAAATGATGAAAAAGATAAGGAAGATATAAGTATAAAAGATACAGAATAGGGACTTTTTTGGTATTTCGTTGGTTTGTCCGTGGTTGTATATACCATATGTGGTTATATAATATTGTTTTTATACGTAGATCGATATTGATGTTTATTTTTTAGCTATTTCTACAAAATGATATTTGATTTTTGGTCGAGTCGTAACTCAAAAAGGTTATATTTTTAATACTGCTATTAATTTTATGCATATTTGTTTGTATTAATATATTATGAACTGGTATTTTATTTATCTTATCATTGACATATTCAAAACAAGATTAATAACATTAAAATTTTATTCAGCGTTTGAAACTATTTCAACGTATTTTTAAATATTACATTTCGAATCATTTATTTATTTTATTATAACTTTCATATTTATATACAAAGATTTAAAAGAAAAGTGTTACCTTTTCTATGGGTAAAAATGAAATGGCCCAGCCTGCGCTATCGGTACACATTGGTGGCACACCAGTGATAGAACTTCACGATATCGTTTGATTATACCGTCACGATACAATAGGAGAGCAAACTGTATGCATTTGTATGGAGACGCTTTTGTGAGTGAGCTAATGCTCCCGGGTACCTGTTTACGCTGCTTCCTACCCATCTCGTAGGGGGAAATTCCATAATAACTGTAAAAGGAAATAGAATTCGCATATTTACCGATACGACAACATAAACTTCAAGAAAAGAGCATATTCCCTTTTAAAAGGCCGGCAGCACACCTGCAATGCCGTTGGTGTTGTGGGTGATCATGGGCGACGATAGTCACTTACCATCAGCTGAGCCGCATACTCGTTTGCCCCGTGTTGTAAAAAAACTTTTTTCAGTCGGTTTCAAAAAGAAGTAGGTTTGATTTCTAAATTTATTATTTAGAATTTAAAATGTATAATTTAAAAATATAAGAGATTAGAATTTAGAAAATTCTAAAGTAGTCAAATTTACAATACAAAATTATACAGAAACTATATTCACATCGAAAATGTGAAAACAGATATACGAATTTCTTCTTTTTGAAGTCGGTAGAAAATAAATGTGATGCTTTAGCATCACAGAAAATGGTGTTCTTTAGAACACCATTTTCAAACCATTTAAAATTGTCTGTCATATTACATAACTATAAAAAATGGTCATCGCCAGTCTTTGGTCCTTTATGATAGACAAATATTTAATAAGCCTATAATAGTTATCCGCGATCTTGTGACCGCAGCCTTTTTGAAATTATTAAAATATTAAATATTACATACTGTAAGTAATTGCAACAAAACTAAAGGTTAAGAAAAAATCCAATTAAGACGAATTGGTCCTAATTTAAAACGCAAGACTTTACGTAAAAAAATAAACTTAGTAATATATATGTATTTTTTTTTATGAGACTTAGAAAGGCAAACAAGTTGACACACCACCTAATGGAAAGTGGTAACCGTCACGTATAGACATACGGCTAATAAAATGAAATGGTGCTAAGGAAATGAAACTCAATACAGACAAGTACATTTTTCTCCACAAAAATATTTAAAACAAACAAATAAAATGCATATACTTTCAGATTGTCCTCATATTATATTTACATGGTTATATTTTTTAACATTATTTTTTTTATTGTTCACAGTTTCGTTCGGTGGAGAATAAAGGGGATCTCTTATCCCACAATAGCGTTTGTGAGGAGAACAGTCTCACAACTGTCTCGACGTCAGATTCCTCTAGCGAGCAGAATGTCGAAATAGAAGGTACGTTGAATATATACATATTATTATATAGTATTTTAATTTTCCAAATAAGCAACCGATTTTGACGGTTTACCCCCTAAGTTCATTACAAATCATTTCTGCTGCTTTGGATGTATTCCATGTGTTTATAGTCAGCTTTAGTACATGCATTCCTAAATTCATAAATATTGGGGAAATTTGTTTGGTTACACATAGAAAATAACATGTGTTGAACTACTATAATCTTTTTTATAAACAGACTAAAAATATATATTCTTTATTGCACTTGTAAGTTACATATAAATTAATGTATTTATAAATGTTGTGAGCAACGGTGGACTTATCTCTGATAGAGTTCTCTTCCAGTCAACATAATACAGTGAGAAAGCATTTCGTTAGCGGGCAGGATAATAAAACTTATTTTTTATTTTATTTATTTCTTTTCAGATAAATCGACGCCGTTAGTGCAGACATCTTTAGAGGCAATAGACGAAGGTCACGCTGCACAATGTTCATACCCCAACTGCGATAAAGTTCTATCTAGATTCTCAGAATGCAATATTTGCATGGAACCCTTACAGGTAAGAGACTACAAAAAATTGAACGTGCATCTACAAGAATATAGAGTTTTAATAATAATAATATATATAATAATATACTTTTTTTAATTAGACTACAATTTGGTCCATTTTGTTAGTAACAGTTTTCTTACAAACTATGTCAGTAAAAAAGAAAAGCAAATTGATTAAAGCAGTTCACTGAGATGTGACCCAGTCGACTAGATCAGCATCCGAATGAAATGTCCAATTATAGGCGAGTTATATTTCTCGCCTATTACTTTTGAAATGCTGTTGGTGCTTGTCCTAATCCTGTGCAGCAATGATGCGGTTCTCTTTCTCCTTATAGCGTAGTAATCATCTACGCGAGATTGAGCAAACATGCTAGAAGCGCTACAAAAGCGAGGTAGCCCCAACAGCACTCTAAAACTATTATTGTAATGGATTCGTAGGGCACTGAGTGAGGCCTGAGGCCTGTGTGCAGTTGACCCACAGGCAGCTCGTGTAGAATGTTTGACAATATGCTTTGAAGAGTGTGATTTTAACTTCTTCACTACAACGGGCAAACCTGCGGGCCAACATGTTACATCTAACAGCCAATGCCCTACGCTCCCTTTCGACATCAGTTTGATCTTTAAGGTCATCAGTAACATAGTGCCCTAGGTATTTCAATTTATGCACTCTTTTTATATTCACTCCGTATAATTGGATATCGGGCACGTGTGTAGGATATTTACCGTTGGCCTTAAATATCAAATACTCTGTCTTGTTTACATTATATTTTAGCCCATGACTCGCTGAGTACGTCTCACACATATGCATAAGCTGTATTAGGGCTCTAATCGTCGGAGTCAGCAGCACCAGGTCATCAGCATAGCTTATGTTGTTGACACAGACATTATCTACGTGACATCTAACACGGCTACTGCTGAGTCCAACAATCAGATAATTTATGTACAAATTGAAGAGCTTGGGCGAGGTTAAATATACATATATACACGTTGAGGAAGCACTCACATGCATGTCACATTAGATGTGATTCATGAAATCAGCAAACAGTATTACAAGTGGTGATGTGACTTTGCTAAATACATTAAGTGAACCGATCGCTGCTAGGTCTGCTTCTAATCCAGATATTTCCACTTTCAGTGTCGCGGTCCTTGCGTTTGCCCATCGTGCGGCAATGTATGGTGTAGGAAGTGTTCCCGTCGCATGCATCAATGTGCATGGTGCCGTTTTTCATTCGAAAAACCAATTACACGGTGCCTAGCACTACAGCGGCTGATCAACGATCTCATGTTGCCATGTCGTAATTACAGGTACGATTTTATTAATAATAATAATAAACGTCGCATAATCAGACCATTCGCTTGACGCAAATAAATTGTAAAATGTGAGATAAAGGCTTTTTATGAAGCACTTTTATAGTTTTTTATAAACTGTTCATATATTGGGTATATAATATATCAACTAGGAATTTATATTATCGTATATATCGTATCACTTAAAAATTAAGTACATTTTAAAATTTTCCAAATATATATATAAAGTGTATATTCCATATGTCGTATATATATAGATATAAAAGTATTTTAATGTAATGTTTTGTCTGAAGTATGTTTGTATGTTTGATACTATCTCCAATCTATGGTAATGCTTATAATTGGCAGTTATTAAAAATTAGGAATTTTTAGCTTAAATAAAAAATAATTAACACCTACAGATAACTACATTCAAACTTGAAAACTAAACTCTAAATCTGAAGTAGAATATTCTAGATAAAAAAAGAAGACCAAGTAGAGATGAAAATTTGATCATAGTTGATGAAATAAAAGTTTATAAAGTTTACAACAATAAAACTAAAATAAATTCGTATTATATTTGTTTGAACATTTAATAAATATACACGTAAGAGATATATTATAAACATAGTCATTTATTGTTTCATATTTGGTTTAAATTCAAATTATCTTTATTTCATTTTATTTATTAGGCGCACGTAACAGAAGTTTACAAATACAAACTTAAATTATAACATGCTAGTACATTAATGTATTGATCAGGTAAACTTGCCACAACATGTGCACACAGCATAATCCAATAATAAATGCGACTGCAACAAAGCCATTCGGTTACAACTATTTGTGAAAAAATTAAACATAAAAAGAAACATAAAGAAAAAAAGTTAAATAATAAATATTCAAATAAACTTGTTTATAAGCACTTTTAAATTATTTTTTTTAATTTACTATAGAATTCGGAACGCTCTTTTAAATCTCTGTTAACATAAATGTACTATTGTCTAAAATGACATAATGGAAATGTTAATAACATTTACAGACATTTCATTGTTGACTACTTTGTATACAGATTAAAGATAGTACTTGCGGTCCTTCTACGGCCCTATATATTCAAATATAAAGTACAAACACAGAGCACAAACCTATTAATCCTATGTTTGGTTACTGAATCCCAAAAAAAAAAGAAATTTTATTTGCATCGTAACATAGTCTAACCCAGGTTAAACCCGTTATTTGTGCTATACACTAAAAAACTCTATATAATGATATGTATAATATCATAAATGTAATTAAAATCAAAATAGAGTTAATATATCCCACGTTCATAGTTTTTAAAACTGAACGATCTCCACGAATTAACCTGTAATAAGAGTGTCATTAATAAAAAGTGCAGGTATTGATTATTTTAGTTTTCATTAATGTTTTATCCCTTTTGTCCCCAGCCGAGGCTGCACAGACCTGCTCTCGGGTACCACCAGAGCAGAGCACGAGGAAGACTGCAAATTCGATACTATTATGTGTCCTGTAACAAAGAATTGCTGTTGTATTCCATTCGAAAAGTTATCAGAACATATTCAGTCAACGCACGATATAACGGCTATATACTCAGAAAAGATAAAAGTCGCCATCAAAAACTTCTGTACCAAGGTGAAGGAATCTGGTCGCCGTGAAATTACATACAAATATATACTTTTGCTTCACAAATGTGCTTTTACCGTCAAAATCAGCTTTTTCAACTATCGTTTCGAAGTGGATGTAATGGGAAAAAGACTAGGATATATAGCTAATCAAAAATTTAAATCTAGTAAAAGTGAATACTTAGCAAAAATCGAATTCCATACACAATCAGCTTCAATCAAGACGTTTAAATTAATAGAAGAAAAGACGTATAATAGAAATACGAATCTACAGTTGGACAGTACTTCATTGCATTTAAAAATGGGAGAGCTTGTAACAATCCGTGTGAGTATCAAAAAGATCACTGTAGAATTCTCGAGTAGCGATTTTGCCAGATCGTTAGATGCTTTATAATAATTTAGTATAAATTTTAAAATAAATTATAATACTAAGTAATGCCTAATTTAAGTATTTCACTGAAAAACCAAATATAAATTGTAATATAATATTTTCCTATTATATGTATTTTATTTTATACATCATACCTCATGCCCGATATGAAAGCAAACATTTAGAAGATTACTTCAACGGTGCTCCAATATAATCTTCGTCATTCTTATATCAGCCGTTACATGTCTACTGCTGAACATCGGTCTCCGCCATAGACTACCACAAGAGATGGTCTAGAGTCATCTGCATTTGCTGACTTCCTGCAATTTTTTTAAGGTTGTCACTCGATTGCTTTTTATTGTACAGGGTCGACACTCGAGAATCTTTCCTCCCCATCGGTTTTTGGTTCTTCGAGTTATGTGCCAGTCCATTAACATTTCAGCTTGCTTATCTTTCGGACTATATTGGGCTACACCCTATTATGTGGGCTTATACCTCAACAAATAAACCACATTTCTAGTGTATAATAGATATCTATTATAATATAGAATTACAAATTGGTAGTAGAATGTGTGGTAATGCGCTTAGTTAATTCGTCAACCACGCTCACTGCCTAGATAGATGCCAAGTTAGTAAGGGTGCCAGTGTATGTATTCGAGTTTTCTAGTAGTATAAAAGTAATCTGTAAAACATTATTTTAGCACTCAAATAAATGTCCTATGCACCTCATTATAATCATCATCATCTTCATCATCATATCAGTTTTTAACTGTCTACTGCTGAACATAAACCTCCCCCTTGAGGAGTTTTATCAGTAGCTAACTCATCCCTTATCTTATATTCGCATATGGGGTCAGCTAAGCCATTGCACGCTAACTCATCGGGTTCTTTTATACTTGCTCCTGCCTTATATTATCATTCAATAGTAGTGATGGGATTCTGAATATTACTTGCACTCGAAACCTCGAGTTTCCTCGAGTCGACTTGAGGAGTTTTATCGAGTGGTTTATACCGAGCCGAGTGAGAAATTCAAATTGTGACAAGTTTGCCCGCGGTAGCAGGAAACTTTTAAGAGAGAAAATTCTTCCTGATGCTTGTCATGCCGCACGCACTATAATTGTAGATATTCTACATTTAGTTGAATATACGGTTGCTACAACAGATTTATGGACGTCTGACAATAATAAAGCATACCTAACTATTACAATACTTATAATTTAAAACTTTTTTCGCAAACTATTACTACTAGAGAGGTTACAGAGAAACATTCTTCTATTATTTTAGCAAGTGTGTTGAAGTCGATATTATCGAAGCCGTTTGGTAGGGGAAAAATTGATCAATTCATTTTTTTAAAGTAGTTATTACACCAATTTCAGTTAAATTTGTTATCTCATTAAAAATACATTATTTCTGTTTTTTTTTTGTCGAGTTTATTTAAGTTTCATTTAAGTTAATTTTAAAACACGTATATTATTACATAAATTGTGTAAGAACATAATAAAACTGTTCATATTTGGATCTTATGAAAGTTCCTTGTTAGAATAAATTAAATTGGATTAGAACTCATTAGTAGTAGATTATAATATTTTAATTTGACTGATAGTTGATACAAGAGGTTTCTTGATTGTGTATGACAGGTTTAGTTTGAAGGAAAAATCTATTTTTTACATTTTGTTTAGATTTTTTTTTTTGAGAAAATGTATACACATTTTCTATGTAAAATTAATACTGTTTTATTCGTTTTAAAATTTTGGTCACTCGAGTTTTATAAGCCGAGTGACTCGAGTCAATAAAAATCACTCGAGTTTTATCTTCACTCGAGTGGCATTCGAAGTTACTTATCAAACACAAAAAATCACTCGACCCATCACTATTCAATAGTGTTGGGGTACGCGCCGCGGTATTAGACAGCCCAAAAAATCCCCGAAATGAAACACAACATACGAAAATGAGTATAATGTAAAAAAAATTATTACACTACTAAATATTCCAAATCTACAATGCTATAACCTGGTTTCCAGGGAATTAAATTATAGCGTGTTTTAGAACAGAGCGCCATCTAGTACCAACGTTAGAATTAAATCAAAATAATAATTGTATCTCCGCACAAATCATTAAGTAAATCTAAATAAACCATTTGTAAAATACAAATGCAAAATATATATATAAGTGTATAAACTATCAATTTATAAATATTGGGGCTCTCAACAAATAGATCCTATCAATATCCCGCGGTTTAACATATCTGTAGTCCCCTAGCTCTGAACTTAAGCCGTTCTCAGTAGACTCAAATGCATACTTGCCAACGAATCGCAGTTGCACATCAAGTGTTCCGTGGATTCCGATTTCTTTTTTTTTATACCACTGAGGTGACAAACAAGCATACGGCCCACCTGATGGTAAGTGGTTACCGTAGCCTATGAACACCTGCAATACCAGAGGTATTACGCGTGCGTTGCCGACCCTAAAGAAACCTCTTTACCCCCCTTTTGAAGAACCCCATGCTGTAGTCTCTTGGGAAAACCTCGGCAGGGAGCTCATTCCACAACCTGAGTGTTCGTGGGAGGAAACATCTCTGAAACCGCTCAGTACGCGACCATTGAGGCTGTAAGAGATGAGGATGAATTTCCTGTCGATGGCGAGCCGTACGATGGTAGAAAATGGCTGTGGGCATCATATTGAACAATTCCTCTGAGCACAATCCATTGTACAGGCGGTAGAACACGCAGAGTGAGGCAAAATCTCTCCTAAGATTTAAGGGTTCGATACCGCTGCACTCACTGCACAAAATGCACAGTGTATCCGAAGATAGACCCTTCCTTACTGGCATATGTCCAGTTAGGGTATCCATAATGACTCTTATCTGTTGTCTGCAACCGCTGTAGATGAGTTCATCCTATCCCTCAGCATTGTCGTTTAAGAACTTTTTACTATATCTAAGACCCTTCAAAGTCCTCAAGTATTTTTGCTGTTTTTTTTTTCTCACAGACTCCTCAAAGACAGAGTTAACAACACTTGATGCAAGTGCAACATATGGTTCAGGACCTATTATTTTCTATTCTGATCCCCTTCTTGCCAACTTATCGGTATTTTCATTACCTTTAATCCCTATATATCCAGGGAGCCATACCAAACTAATCCTATTATGCCTACCCAAATTATTAAGGTTTTGAATAGCATTTAAGGTTAACCCTGAATTTATCCTTGTTGATAGTCGCTTAACTGTCACTTAAAATATGGATATTCTTGTTTTTTACATTATTATCCAGATTCATAGCTGCACAGGTGGCAACAGCATACACTTCTGTTTGGAAAACAGTAGTGTATTTCCCTGTGTTTTGACATATTTCGTTTTTAGTTAAATAGATTCCAGCTCCAGTACCTATTGACATTTTGAAGCCATCCGTATACCAATATAGGTCATTCTCCTGTAGAGATGGCGGGCTATGTTACCACTCTTCTCTCTGTGGTATATGAACTTTGAAGTTCTTTTAAAAGCAATAAGTAGAATGTTCAGCAGATAATAAAAATAAGCATTTTCAAGTAACTATTTTTCTAATTATAATTTGAATTTGGTATTAGATAATTATTTTAGGCTATTTTATTTTTAAAGAAAATACAGATGATTATATTGTCTATTGGGTACATTTCTAAGATGAACGTCAGAATTCTTTTTGAATAACTACGCACAACCACTCTTTAGAATCAACTTCCAGCAGAAATATTTCAGAACCGATACGACATCATAACCTTCAAGAAAAGAGCATACTTCTTTTTAAAAGGCCGACAGCACACCTGCATTGCCTCTAGTGTTGCGGGTGATTATGGGCGACGATAGCCACTTACCATTAGATAAGCCGCATGCTCATTTGCCCGTTGTGTTGTAAAAAACAAAAATCTAAATCATTTGTTTGTTAAGTTCTATTAAAATCATACTGCAAATAGAAGAACTAAACTGACAAAAAATTACGTTTTGTTCTACTGCGTATAGCATAATATAACCAAACCATAGAACTATAGGGATATAATCAGAAAATTGAAACATTTAAGAAAATTATTACGATATATATATGAACTGTATAACTGTACAGCACGTTTCCTTTCATTTTAGGATAAATAAAATCCAAAAACAAACTGGCTGATCGGTCTTTGACAATCTATGCTCTATTGCGCTGTATTAATTTTGTAAACTGACTGCATTGTGGTTCATACCAAAAAAAGTGAAAGAATAAAAAACACAAGCACTTTGAACAATTATTTTTATTAAACTCTTAGTTTATAAAATTTTATATTTAGACCTTTTAGGTTATATTTATAAACAGTACACTTATTTCTGTATATAATACAAGCAAATATTTGATATGAACTTATATTACTTCATTCAAGTCACATATATTTGATATTAAGTCTCGCCATTATTTTGACGACGTAATCTCTTATCAAGTTTTGCATATTTTTTTTTTGTTTCACAGAGAAAGTGAGTTATTTTTCAAGACATCAACAGTTACACATATATATTGAATTGATCATAATTATTTTAATAATTTCTAGGTTTCTCGCCTTACAATAGATATATTATTAAAAAAAAATGAGAATACAAAAATATATTCAACCGAGCTAAGAGAATACTTAATTCAGATTATTATATGATTTATGGCATACCTATGTTTATTTATTTATATTTATATATTATATTTCATTAAAATATCTTACTAATATAATAAAATTGTAACTGGACGATATCTGTACCTACATGGGAGATATTTGATGTAATGAGTCTTAACAAAACCAATAGATGCCAAAACAATAGTTTTTAGAAATTATGTCTGTCTACATGTTTATTTCGGTATTATACAAAAAGTACTGCACCAAATTGGATACAGTTTTCATATTTGTATTTCTAAAAGTCTTAGTTAAAATCTGGTGTATATTTCATGACGACACGCCATCTAGTGGTGGTTTATTTTATACTTTTTTTTTATACAACTTAGAATGGCAAACAAGCTGACAGCCCACCTGATGGAAAGTGGTAACCGTCGCCTATAGACATGAGCAGTACCATGGACATAACAGAGTATATTGTTTCGCCCATGATACCCCCCATGCGTTGCCATTCCATTGTAAGAAAAGAAAAGAATTCCTGAGTCCTCAACTCAGGAATTCTTTTCTTTTCTTACTTCTGAAATCGGCGCATACGAAGTTGCTAGCAAAAAACTGGTTAATGCAATAAATATGTATTTAAACACTTGTTTATGTTTATTATTTTAGACAGAAAAAAAAATTAGGTTAAGTTTGAATTTACAAATATCTTATTTTACAATTTTATACAATTTATCGCTCTTAATGTAGAAAATAATAAATGAATAAAGAAAAAAAAAAACAAAAGCAAATAATAATTTAGCACCATGTGTACTAAAAAAATAACATTTATAGTATATTAAAATTCTTTATCGATTCAATGTACTTAAATATAAAATTATTAATAAAAAATGCAAGTAAACAAACAAATCCCATTGTCATGTAAATATAACCTTACTATTATAAATAAGTAATTATAAAATTAACTTGTATCACGCAACGCAACGTCACAAAACATGTTTGCAATTAAAAATGTATGCCTGCAAATGCATTCGTTTTTGTTAAACAAGATTTTTTACCAGAGAAAGACAACAAATGCCATTTGCATGCAGTCTTCTGTCCCACTGATGTTTCCCATACCGGTAGCGCCCTCTTGGCTATTTCGATTCGAAGGGTATAACATGCCAGTAGAATTTACAAGGTACAAAAGCATAATACCTTAGTCCTGTAGAAAGCAATTAATCCAATTTTGTAATTAATAATTCTTTTTTAAAGTAGTAACACCGCCTATGCTGGCAGATAGGGGTAGCTAATATATAGCTATAATATATATCTATATATATTTTTGTATCATAATTTTAACTTTTGCTTTTTTATAAAATGTAAGTATTTGCATGCCTACATCACTTAAGATAATTAAACAGGTGCCTACGGACGTTTGTTAATAATTTTAAAACTGTTTGATGCAAATAAACTCATTTCATTTAGTTACAATATCTGTATACTTGTCCAATAACGAAAATCGATATTCGATCGATATGGACGATATCGAAATGGGTGATGACCATTCTCCGCCATCAATGCCCAGAGGATCGGATCCATTTACCATATCTCCACCATCAATGTCACGTTAATAGGCGTAGAAGAACTCGTTATATAGATATCGGATCGATCGATATGGACGATATCGAAATGGGTGATGATCATTCTCCGCCATCAATGCCCAGAGGATCGGATCCATGGGTAATACCATATCTACTGGCAGAGTTTCAGTGACAGTTGATACGTGAGGATGAAATCATGTCAGTTGGCCCATTGTGATAAATTCACTAGGAATTAATCACGTTAATAGGCGTATTGAAGGTGGGAGGGAGGGCATGAGATTTTCCAAGAGACAACTGCATGGGATTCTTCATAACAGGGGTAAAAAGAAAACTTTAGGAGTCGGCAACGCGCGCGTTATGGCGTAGCAAGCATTCATAGGCTACAGTAATCGCTCGACTTCATGCCGAAGTAATTATTAGAGTAATCACTCCAGCATGAAGTCGAATTGACTGAGTATATTGCTAGCAATGAAGACGAATATACAATTAATATTATCAATGCTATACCTAATATGGATTATGAATTAATTTCTTTTATTTATTATTGAACAATTGATTTGAAAAAAATACTTATAAGGATTAAAGTTATTTTTAATTATCCTATAATCTTACATACTTGTATTTACACTTATTTTTATGTTTAACGACGATAACTTACTATTTGGCAATACAGTAGACCTTTAGAGCTCTAATCCTATAAAAATATTTTTTCTATTAGTTAAGTTTAATGATCAAAATCGTATGTATGTAAGTATATATTTGTTTTGACTATAAAATAATATTAGCATGCCTTTTTATTGATGTAGTAAAATAATAAATTTATTTATTCAGTTATTAATTATATAGCTATAAATTATAGTTTATTATATATATAAAACTCCATAGATACTTTCTTCTTTCGTGTTCTCAACGTTGACTCAAAGAAATCCCTTCAATTGATATCTATATTAAATATGTATATATAATTTAAAAATAATACACTAAATAAATACTTTTTTTAATTGTTTTATATAATATTAACGTGTTCTAGTTTAATTAATTATTTATACATTTTTACCATTTAATTTTTAAATGGTTAAATGTGATAAAAAAAGCATGCTAAAATTATACCAAATACTCGTATAGAAAAAAATTATCATATTTACTTACACATTTACAATAATACGTATCTATATTAAAACATTTTTTTTATAGATAATGTTATAGTACAAAAACTAGGAACGAAAAACCATCATAGTTTCAGTATTGGAAAATTTCAATTAAATATTCTATTTTCGAAATAACCAAACTTTTTTTTTAGTAATGCTATATGTAAATAGCCAGTGGCAAACAAATGAATGCTTAAAGTGAATTTCCTTAGACCTATAGAGTCCATTGATAAATAGGTCATATATGTCATTAAGTCATATAAATTTAATTATTATAGTTATATATGAGCCTTGTACATCATAGATTTATGTAATAATGAAAAAACAAACCATATTACATATTTTACTAATATCACTTAGTTTTAAGGAAAGGTTTTGCGTTATAATAAAATTCGGGAACATAAAAGATGTCATATAACTTCAATAATAGTAAACTCAAACTAGTTTTAGATAAGATAAAAAAAAAAGTAAAAAAAAATTATTTATAATATTTCAAAAATTAAACTTTGCTATTAAATAAACAGCAAAGTTTAATTTATTAATACAAACAAATAATTAATTAATTAAAATTATTCAAAGTCAATTTATCTAATTTATCTATTGCTTAAAGTCGATCAATAAAATATTGTAACCAAAAGCGCATTTAGAGTGGGGGGGGGGGGGGGCACTAACGCATAGAATTGTCTGGTGCTTAGCGTTCAGTTATAAGCGAAGACAGATCGGAGAATGCATATGTAACTTTAGAGGATTATGCACATTTTTAGGAGCCCCTCCCCCCATAAAAACAATTTTAAATGCGCCAAAGATTGTAACTAAAAATACGTGCAACAGATATTAAAAATAAACGTAATAGCATGTAATGGCATTGTAAAAATAATCCTTAAATTGATTATGATTATGTTAATATATAATAGACTTTGGCTAACAATAAATAAATAAAAAAAATAGTAATATGATATTTTTATATTATAAAACTAGTCATACGATGATTATCATTCTATTAGACATATAGATAGGTACTACAAATAAAAAAATATTTTAAAATTGTACAATATATCAAAAATAATATATTTATCTAATATTTTTAATGTAAACTTTTAATCTAATGTAGGTCTGTCTGTCTGTGAAGTGTGTATTTTTAACAATTATAAAAATAGCAAATTATATATTATTTTATTCGACATTAAAACTATGAGATTCATAATAGGCCTATTTAAAGAATTATCTAAAAATAAATTAAAATTAATTTAAGAATGTACTTACACTTATAAAATTCTCAAATTATTTTATATTAGATATGTGTTTTTAGACATTCGTCATTTTCAAAATGTAATAAAAAATATTGATAGTTAAAATTACCATTGACAAAATTTTATATTTTATTTCTTGAATGATTGCTATATTTTATTTAAAAAACATTCATAAATAAAAAAAAAATGTACATATTTACAAGAAATACCATAATTAATGACACACTTAAAAATATTTAATATTTCGTCTTTCCAATTTAATTATAATTTATATAATATTTTCACAAACAATTTTAATGCTTTGGTAAATGTTATTATTACGTTGATATAATTACCTAAAAATTTTGTTAGTAATAAAATTTTAAATTTAAATTCCACCAATATTGGGGGTTTTCACAAAATATGTGATCAGGGTACCCTTTCCTTTGACAAACGTAGGTCCCCGACACTCGCAGGTATATCCCACGTTCATTAGTACCCTGAAACGTGGAATTAATTATTAAAAAAAAGTAATGTATAAAAATTCGATTCTGCTGAACCATTTTTAACGAAACGTACGTAACGTGAAGCAATTGTGTTTGCATGGCTGTGTTTCAGTTTGAAGGATGGGCTATGACAATAAATTTACAGGGTACAGAGAAATAACATCTAAATCGTCAGGAATGGCAACGCATAGGAGGTATCATGGGAGAAACAGTATACTCTGTTATCTCCATGTTACTGCTCATGTCTATAGGCGACAGTTACCACTTTCTATCAGGTGGGCAGTCAGCTCGTTTGCCATTCTAAGTTGTATAAAACAAGACACTAATGAGAGATAGGTGAGGATAAAAGTAGGTCAATTAACCTATCGAGATGAATTTAATGAGAATTAACTTCATTATTTACAATTCCTTTCCCTGATGGGGAAGGTTAGAAGGTCTTACTCCAAAGAATTGGTTGAAGTCTTAAAATGATGTTGGTAATAAGTGAGTACTCACTTAGCTGTGTCCTCGGTGACTTGTATTTTCCCCATAATCCCTGTAGAGTCCATCCTGGAGGCTACGTTGACCGTATTCCCCCATATGTCGTACTGCGGCTTCTGAGCACCCACCACACCAGCTATCACTGGCCCATGATTTAAACCTGCACAAGGTTATATATTTATTTATTCTTTACAATTTTTACCATCTACTTCGTCCTTGTGATCAAGATTATCCAGAATTAAAAGCATTATAAGTTCTTCTCTATCATAATAACATGTATATATCACTTTATAGTCAACTGCAAGAACATTAGACACAGTCACTCATCTCTGACAACACTATTGCCTGCTGCTACCACTATTACCGTCCCCACTGCTGCTCACACCAATGCAGATAATTGCCAAATAGACGCTGTGGCATAAAACACTATATTCACTTTTTTTTTTTTTTTTTTTTTTTTTTTTTTTTTTTTTTTTTTTTTTTTATAGAACTTAGAATGGCAAACAAGCTGACGGCCCACCTGATGGAAAGTGGTATCCGTCGCCTATAGACATGAGCAGTACCATGGACATAACAGAGTATACTGTTTCGCCCATGATACCCCCATGCGTTGCCATTCCTGAGGACTCAGGTGTTATTCCTCTGTACCCAGTAAATTCACGCCATATCCCACCCTTCAAACCGAAACACAGCCATGCAAACACAACTGCTTCACGGTTGAAACACGAATGGGACAGAGGTACCCAAGCAATCGACTTTTGTACAAAGTCTCCCTCTGGTAAACTTTTCAACGTTCACTCTAAAGACTTCCGGATGAAGCGGTAACATTTGTCGGAAAAACATAGTAAGTTCAAAAAATTCTCATTACACATGTACCTTCATAGATACAGGATTGAATTCTCAAGTAATGTGACTCTTGCCTATATAAGAAATACTCTAAAGTCAACTGTTGACTCAATTAGCACTTACCTATTCTAAGTTTAAATCTTTGGAATGACTCCCTGTTGATTTGGTCCAGTATCGTCATGAGAGCTATCGCGAACTCCACCAATATTCCCACTGTATGCTCCTCTTTTCTATTCGCATCCTATAAAAAAGCATAGAATAGATTTCAAACCCATTATATTTTCACTCAGAGACAGAAAACATCGTACTGTACTCTCTCTGGAATTGTAAAAAATTATTGATTGCAAAATGAGATGCGTGAAAGTCTAATGATGCAGAGTTATTCTTACAAGATAGAAGAAGAGGTAGTCTTACAAATATACACTGTTATTCGAAAAAGGTTTACCAATCAAGATTTAAACCCTGAATGTTTTGAATCTAACGTCTATTGTATAATTATAATAATTTCTGAATTCTTTTGCCCTAAATTCTGAGATAAATTCTGAGACAAGATACTCCAATAGTTAAAATATGTTTAAGTAAAAGGTTTCTTTTTTATTAATAAGATGGTTTTATTTATTTAGCCTCTCGTATTTTAATTTTAACACCTCATAGTTAAGTAGTATTCATTTACTTAACTTTCAAAGTTTTTTTTAAATATTACATAAATACAAGTTTATATAGAATTAATTTTGTAGATATTAACTTACAATCTGTTCCTCTTTTCCTGGTCTCAGGCCGGACGCAATCATGTAAGTGCTGCCTATCGTCTTGATCTTCTCTATGCAACTAAATTTCGGTTTTAACAGTAACTGAAACAATATACATTTACAAATAATTATTTACTTCTATAATATTATGTACTACTTTATCTATATCAAAAGTTTTAAACCTGACATTCAACTCATGTCTACCAGTTGTAATATCAGACAGACAAGAATTACTTACTGGTGGGAAGGTGCTACCTTTTGGTGCACTTTTCACCTTTTTATTATGTCAGTTATGCCTTTGTACCCTGTAATTTCACTACTATATCTCACCCTTAAACTATGTATTTCAGTACAGGCAAACTTACTTTATCAAAGTCGCATATAATTTCATTGAGCAGTCGCAAACACTCCAAGCCCTGCTTGTTGACATCAGTTTCGTCGTAGAACTCTTTGTAGTTGGGTATGGATGCAAACATAACCGCTATGCTTGAGTACCTCTCATGATATAAGTCTTCCTGTAACGAATTCAGTACTATTATTGTTGCTGTGATAGATTTTAACTTTTTTTATATAGCTTTCTGTTTATTTAGATGGATTGTAGATTACAGAATTAGTCTCCTATATTTAGTAGATATCTGCCGTGTAGTTTCGGCATAGAATGGGCCACCTCTTCCTTATCCGTAGGTGTCGTAAGAGGTGACTAAGGGAACCTAATAATCTAAAGATGGAAAGCAGCGTCCCTGTTAAAACATCATCAAAAGCCTAACTGCATTTGCCAATCCACTCGCCAACCGTGGCAGCTACTGACAAACCCCCCTTTATGGGGAAGGTCTATGTTTAGCAGTGGACAGTTAAGAGCTAATATGAAAGAATGAGTTAATCCAGTAGATAGCTCTAACTCGTCGACTTCATTCCTAAATACAACAATTAAAATAAAAAAAAAGTGTGTCTTTTCAACAGACTTCAAAAATAAGAAAGGTTGATTTTTTTATGTTTATTTTAATAAAATTGGTTCAGCAGTTTAGTTTTTTGGTCAAAACAAATGAAGTCAGTTTATTTTGTAAAACACACCCTTTAATTATTACAATATTATCTACAGCTGTACTAATATGATCAAACGGAAATGTTCGTCCTTTAATTTGAACGCGCTAATCTCTATTAAAACCAGTCAGATTTGAAAAATTCTTCATTCCTTTTATAGATCATTTCTTAAGGAAAGTTAAAGACTATTCAACATCACATTAAAATCATAGGCAAAGCCGCGAGCTACAGCTAGTAAATATATATAATTAAAATATTGGAGAGTAAATTTAATTTCTGATACTACTCCAAAAAGAAGACTACTCAAATTGCCTGTATTATTTATGTATATGTTATACCATATCTTGACTAATTCTAGATACAATTTTCATAATTTCTTTTACAATCGATTGGATTTACTGTCATATTAGTACCATATTGAAGTCTTTATCAACTGTAAAGCAATGTGTTAAATTAATTTATAAAATAATTTTATTGCAATCACCTCTGATGCGACGGAAGTCAAAAAATGTTGAGCCACGTGTGCAGGTAATATATTTTCTAGAAGAATCTGAAATGAGAAAACAATAATTATATTTACTATTTCTGTTGTACAGTCAACTTGTCAACAAGGGGAAAAAGGATTGTTAGTTATTGGGGAAGCATTACTCATTAGTACCCCGTCAAAGCATACCAATAACACAAACAGGGTTTCTATTCCATCATCATTTATAAAAAAAACTTGTCTAAACATATGTAATTATTCGTATTTAAAAATATATCTATTGGCATGAAAGCTGCTTTTGGATATTTTTCTGCATTAAAACGCCTATAAGAAAATAGCTTCGACTTAGCTTCGTTGCAAATTTTTACCTTTCTTAGGAAGTGAATTTATTAACAGTCAAGTTATACTTGAACAGTTGAATTAGACAAAAGTTTTGTTTATTATATGTTCGTTTACCCTCTGTGATATAAAAAAATCTACTACTAATCCAGAAGTACATAAATCGCAGTGTTCTATGAACACTGAAAGAATCAAAGAAACTGATGACGGTAGAAAAACTCACTTTATTAATCCCTCTCATGGTCTCCACTTCTTCTTGCTCAAATTTGAGCTTATCCTTCCATAGGAAATCAGTTCTGGAAGTGAACTCAATCTGTCGATCCAGGATGTGAAGCATCGCGGCCAGGAAGACCAGAGCCATACCTGCTTTCGCTGCGTAAGGGAGCATTGAAAATCTGCAATTAATTAAAAGGAAATTTAATAATTTACTTTTTTTATAGACAAGAATGGTAATCAAGGATAAAAATAAAAACATTATAAATATTTTTATTTTATATACTCGTATTAATAAAAAGAGGAGGACGATATAACGCAAAAACGCAAAGCAAATATAATCCTCGTACCTAATCAGCCATCGTAGCATATGAACGTTTGCAACAATGGACGCGTCATTCGCATGTTGGTAACCCAAAAACAAAGTAGTAATGATGAAGTCTAAATCTTTAATGTCCATTAATAAATTTTGAACCAATCAAACTTAACCTACTCTTCATAGAAGCTTGGATCGCAAAACAATAAGAATAAGAAATTTTGCCCTGTATAGACGATCCATATGGATCATCTATACAGGGCAAAATTTCATATGCATATGCATCGGCATTCCTGAGGACTACTTCAGGAACAGAATTGCATTTGTGATACCATAAGTCAATCAAAAGTGATCTTTTATTTGCAATGTTCATTATGCTGTTTATGTATAGATAACGGTTGCCAATTTCATCAGTTTGGGCATTAGCTTGTTCACCATTTCAAGTTGCACATCTTCAACCAAAAGTAATTAAGCTTCTAAATCTTTTATACTCACTCAGTATCCATGTCTTGTATCGGATAGTATACAAATAGATCAGTGGAAGCGAACAACGATATGTGGGTTATCAGCGTGAGGCACATCAACACCATTTTGAACACGAACCCCACGTGCAAGAATACCGATATTGATGCTAACGTCAGGACCGAACTGTATAAGTAACTCTGAAATAGAAATAGAGAGGATTTATCACCATTTATTATTTATTGTTTTAGCTGTTAAGTCCTAATTTCTAAACATAGGCCTCCCTCATACACTGCTATCCCTCATACACTGCAGAAATGGTCTTGAACCACTTGCATCAACTAATTCGCTGAATGCATTTGAGGTCTTTGCTTAATTAATAAGGGATCGATAGTTGATTATTCGATTGCTTAGTGTTTTTAGAAAGATGTTTTAAGAGGAACGCTGCTGGTCATCCCTCCACCGTAAGCTCTCTTAGTCATCTCCTATGACACCCACAGGAATGGAGTGGCCTATTCTATGCCGGGACCTACACGGCTAGGTAGAGTATATCACTTTATTTGCTTTTTCAAGTCGAATAAAAAAAGTATATTTTATACATAATAATATTATTAAAAACTTTTAATACTTACAGGTGCGGAGTCAATTTCGACGTACTGAAACGGCGTTATGTTCAGCGAGTCTGTAGAATTTGATACAGTGCTGTTAGTTATGGCGCCATCTATTGGATACTGTTGTACCACGGTCGTCTGTAACTGATTATGATAATTTGCAATTAGTTTTTTATGTATAGGTTTAATCGTACTGGATGTAATAGGTACGGTCATTAAGAGACAGGAGTTAACGCTATCATTTAGATAAACTATAATAATTAAGTTAATTGAATTATCTCGACGCTTCGACTGGGTTAAACCAACCGTGGTCACGAATAGACTGATGCTGTCAATGTGTCAATGTGAGAAGAAATAACTTCTGCCTCCGAAGCGGAGACATAATAGTGCTTCATCAGTCTATTCGTGAACAAGACCGATGTAACTTGGTCGAAACGTCGAAATAAACCAGGTAAATTATCATAGTTTACCTAAATGATCACGTTAATTCCTGTTTTTAATAAACCATAAAATATGCAGCGCGAATGTCTAAATGTTAATAGGTATGATCAACTCGAAATTTAGTAATGTCATGGAACTGTAAAATTTTTAAACAAAACTGAAAAAAATACAAGCTATAAATCTAATTAAATAATAGATTTTTTTTTAAATTTAATATGAATAAATAGCTAACTCTGTATACCTAAATATCGAACCTAAGAGGCGCATTGCTTTACGTAATGAGATCCCATGCTCTAGTTCTCGGACGAGTCAATTTGGGAAAAGACTTTTTCTAAATTGGCTCGGATCTGCGCATTCTAGATGTGCCTCCGGATTCTCGATGCTTAGTTTCTCATATTATAGGATATCCTAAGTTAAGGACTAGAGTTTTTTATTATCATATCAGCCGTTAACTGTTCACTGCTGAACATAAGCTTCTCCAATAAGGGGGATTTTGCCAGTAGTTGCCACACATGACAAGCAGATTGACAACTGCAGTTAATCTTTAAGTTTAAAAATAACAAAAATTCTTACCAAATTGATGACAGAACAGGCAGCTATGAGCAGTACCGTAACCAAGAACATAGTGAGTCTTATAAAACGGTTGCTGGCCACCACCTGAAATATAGAAAATATTTTTATAATAACAATATCTTGGCTTAGTAGTTTAATTAAATTCTTAATTGGTGCATATAGACTTCCCTCAAATATAACAGAAAGGAATGATCATGAGCTACTAGCATTCAAAAGCTGCATTATATTTGAATATTTCTCTGCATCTAATGATAGTAGTCCTAGACAACTTTGCCTTTACGCAGTATGGAGCCACTAATCGAGAACCTTTTTTTCCCACGAATGGTTAATAATTATAGCTAGCTGTATAACTTGCCCATTGCCACTTAAGCTTACTATACTGATTATTTTAGTTTTTTCCTTTTGCGAATATGCTCATTTCGGTTTCTACTAAGCAGAGAAATTTGGAGCAAGCTCGCTGAGCAACTTGTAGCTTCAGCATATATATAGTTAGTAGTATAAAACCATGTTTCAATTTCTCGTCTCTCTAAATCATCTCTGGTAACACGTACTAGTTAAAACTCTACACGTTCAAACTTTGGAATATCAAGTTTATTTACTCTTAACTCTAAATGAATGAGATTGACTTCTAAACCGCAGTAGTGGTAAACGAGCTAAACTAATGCAAAAATTGACAGTAGATTTTGGTATTGTAGCTACATAGTCTTTTTAATAATATTTATTATTAAACTGATCTTTGAAAGTATACTATTTTCAAGAATTTACTCCACTTTGGTATCTCGCAGGAAAGACAGTCAACTTTCATACCAACCTGACCAGGCTTCGTACAATTGTCAGTGTACAAGTCTTCAGCAAGAACGGGTACGTCCGATAGGGGGTGCATCCCTCGCCGGGTAAACTGACCATCGTACCACGATAAATAGACAAACACTAAAAGGGTGATGAAGGTAGGCCCAAACGATGCATAGATCACGATGCCCCTAAAACAATTCATTTACTTAAGTGTTTTAAAATTGATAAGTTATATGTTTTCTACTTGTATGTATACTCATACTAAGACATTTACGAAATAGATAGAGAGAACCGAATGCAAAAAATCTCCATACTTTTATGCAAGTTTTATATAATACAATTTTATCTTTGGCTGTTAATTTGTCCCACAGGGTTACACTCTGGGTTCGTTGTTCGCGTCGGTGTAGCCTCACTGTAGGCTGCAACTGAAAATCAGTGCTTTGCTTTTAAGCAAAACCATCACTGAGCTGTAACCTATTTGTGTCACTGCAACACACATAGTGAAAATATATTTTCGTATTTTATCTTTTGTTTTATATTAAAAAAAAGTGTGATTATTATTTTGTACGAACTCATTTGTTAATTAACGTGTGCCACAAATGGCTCAAATAAAACGTTTATCTGTCTTTCAAATTGAGTTTTTTATGTCGAATATGTCAGTCTATTATAACGTGGGATAAATGCTGTAGAGATGAGAACTCTAAGAAACATGTGTAGTATTACATAGAGTGAGACACAGTGTGATTAAAGAGAAGTATAGACTGATGGACTGAAAGACGATGTAGTAACAAAAATCGAAAAGAGCAAGTTGCGTAGGTTTGGACATTTGGAGAGGTTGGATTAAAGCAGAACTACGAAGGAAGTTTATCGAGCACGATTGAATGGAGATGTCAGTACTCTAGGTGGACGTATGCTGACCAAATAGGCGACGTGCTAAAATAGGGCCAAATTAAAAGTACCCATAACCGACAAGCGTGTATGAAAAGATTGATGAATGTAAAGGAAGTTAAAAAGGTCTGTTTGAATTGAATAATGTGAGAGATAGGCGTAAGAGATATACATGTATGTATGTCAAATTACTTTTGCACAGTAAGCAGTTGTATGAAGGCAATCAGCGTGAAGAGCAGAGCTGCGCACGCGACGTTATACTTGAATTGCGCGTCCGGCTGGTTCCTGTACTGACGCTCTTGTGTGCTGCTCTTGAACCATAGTGTCACACAATTCATGCCCTCGGAGTTGTTACTGTAATAAACAGACATAAAATTCATTAAAATCTACTTAATAAGGGCATTCAATACCAAAAATATAGGAATGAAATCATCATACATATATATATATCATACGTATAAGGAAATTCAAAAAGAATAATTGTCTTGTTTCGCGTAGTATGTTATAGTTGTATAGGCATATGGCATAGTTTTGATGGAATAGTTTTATGCGTACATAAAATTTTGGGATTATATCGATGATTTCTTGATGTCTTGATGACTCACATTTTACTTCTCTCTAAAAACAAACTTACAGGTTTCGTTACAACTCTAGTTGAATAAACAATAGAATAATAAAAAAATGCAAGAACTTGTATTAAATCCATAATTTAATTGTTGGAAGTATAAAAAAAGAGTGTTATAAAATTGATTTTATTTGCATAAGTGTATTTGTGTATCTGTCTGTTGCATCATAGCTCCTAAACTGATAGACCTATTTAAATGCCATTTAATTATTTATCAAAAATGTATTATAAAGAAAATTTTTAATTAAATTTTTATTTCATAATTGTATTAATTCATAACTAAAACAACATTTCCCCGGCCTTAAAATTAATTTACTTAAATGAGACGAAACCACGTTAGATATATCAATTTGTGATGTGCCGAATCGGTCTTTTCAATTTTCGAGTATTTTGGTTATTCTGACTCGAGTTTGAATACTCGAACGGGTAATCGAGTACATCCATAGGTATTCAAATACGCATAAAAAATAAACAGAACCATAAAAACTTCAAATAAATTCGCGACTTGTATTCGAGTACCGTAAGTTGTCAAGTACTCGTATATAAATACTTGAGTTTTCGAGTTTGATATTCGAGTCAACTTGATTGGGCACGTCACTAGTACCTATTAAGCATGGATAGAAACAATATTTACGCACAAGTTTCACGTGTAACAAGCAAGATTAATTTAAACAACATAGTTCTCCGACCCGGCCTTATATTAACATGCTAATAAACGGTTCCCTTAATAGTTAGTTGTTGAATAACATACAAATATATTAATTACGTTGACACTACTGATACTGTGAAATACGTAACTGTTTCAATATTTTTTTTATACAACTTAGAATGGCAAACAAGCTGACGGCCCACCTGATGGAAAGTGGTAACCGTCGCCTATAGACATGAGCAGTACCATGGACATAACAGAGTATACTGTTTCGCCCATGATACCCTCCATGCGTTGCCATTCCTGAGGACTCAGGTGTTATTCCTCTGTAAATTTCCTGTAAATTATATATATACACCATATCCCACCCCTCAAACCGAAACACAGCCATGCAAACGCAACTGTTTTACGGTTGAAACACGAATGGGACAGAAGTACCCAAGCAAACGAGTTTTGTACAAAGTCTCCCTCTGGTAAATATTGGTAGCAATGTGACCTTTAGTTCCCATTACTAACAATCGCTTCTCCCTCGTATACCGATAGCGCAGATGGGGTTACCATTCCATTGTCATCCATTAAAAAAGGTGTAGTCAGATGGCCCATTTGGACGAATTCGTTAAGAGTTAACCACAATGGTTACCAGGAAAAATCGTATGAAGGTCGACCTGATGGGGTATATTAGTAGCAATGGGGCCCTCAATCCCCATTGCTAACAAATCTTATTGCTAAATGAGTGGGTTAGATAAAATCAACTTACCTACAGTCACAGCATGTCGTTCTTTGCGGTAATAGATTTTGTTCGATCATGGCCAAGCTCTGGAAAAAAATTATGGATCATATCAGAATACATGTACCTATACAAACATACCTATATATGGTAATATACAAACCTATAAATATAGATATATTATTAAAAATATAATATTTTACATGTCTTTACATTGCTTATTAAAAAAAAGAGAGAACTTGAACATATTTATTTATTTATTTACACTTTATTGCACCAAGTAAAAAGAGGAATAACAAATACAGTAAATATTAATGAGAAGTGATACAAAAGGCGGCCTTATCGCTAAGCAATCTCTTCCAGACAACCTTTGGGTAGAGGACATTGAGAAAAAGACAAAGAGTAGGTGGCGCACTATTATATAAATATTATCAAATACAAACATATATAGATACATACATACATATATACACATACATATATAATATATACACAATTAAATATATACATAACATACATACATACATACATACACATACATATATAATATATACACAATTAAATATATACATAACATACACATACTTAACAGCATACATACAACAGAAAAAAATGACGAAGGAAAACGAAGAGAGAACACAGGAAAATAGTACTAAAGTGAGAGGTAGTAAGATTTAACAGAGGTTTTGAAGCTAGTAAGAGTTTGAGCGCATCAAATAGAGGTAGGTTGTGAGTTCTATAGACGAACTGCCTGAACAATAAAGGATTTAGAATAAAAGGAAGAAGAATGAGTGGGAAATTTAAGTCGGAGGTTATTGACACTGCGTAAAGTATGATCATTAGCTTCACTGAGAAACAAGAATCGGTCTTTTAGATAATCAGGAGCAGCAGGATTAAAAAGGATTGTGTAAAGAAGAGACAGGATATGCAGATTACGACGAAAACGGATAGAGAGCCACTTGAGTTGAGTACGAAATTGAGAAATGTGATCATATTTGCGAAGACCAAATATGAAGCGGATACATAAATTTTGGAGACGCTCAAACTTGTTTAATTGCTCTTCGGTGAGGTCTAAATAACATGAGTCGGCATAATCAAGAATGGGTAGGAGTAAGGTGTGTGCGAGCGCAATTTTGGTGTTAACTGGGAGGAAATTACGTAGTCTATTTAAGGCAAAAGTTGCAGCAAACATTTTTTTACTGACCTCCGAGATTTGTGGAGACCATGACAAAGTGTTATCAAAAATAATGCCAAGATTTTTTACTTTTTTCTGGTAATCTATCATAACCCCATCAAAAACCACAGGCGGAAGACTGGTCGAGGAAATTTTGGAAATAAGTATGGGACTCCCAATAATAATGGCTTGTGTCTTCAAGGGGTTTATAACAAGACCATGAGATTTACTCCAGGCAGATATACGTTCCAGATCGGCGTTAACAGTAGATATTGCTAAAGAGATATCAACCAGAGGGGCTAAAGAGTAAATCTGTAAATCATCTGCATAAAGGTGGTAGGAAGATTGAAGTTTCGAAGTGATAGTGCTAATAAATAAGGCAAATAGAAGAGGAGATAAAACGCCACCCTGCGGCACGCCAGCTGACGTATGGCACCAAGAAGATAAAACGTCATCAATGCGAATACGTTGCCGACGTCCAAACAGGTAACTACGAAACCAGTCAATTGCCGTTGGAGATATGTTGAGAGAGGTTAGCAATCCTAACAAAATATCAAAATCAACAGTATTAAAGGCATTGCTAAAGTCCAATAATGTTAAGACCGTTAATTGAGAATTCTCCATGCCAAAACGGATATCGTCAGAAATTTTAATAAGAGCAGTAGTCGTACTATGACCAGGACGGAAACCAGATTGAAGAGGATTTAAGAGATTGTTTCTTGATAGGTAAAAGTTATGTTTTTGTTGGACAAGGCGTTCTAAGGCTTTGGATAGAAAAGGGAGTATAGAAATTGGACGGTAATCTGAGAACGAGGAAGGAAGTTTCTTTTTTGGTAGAGGGATTATGAAAGCTGCTTTCCAAGCTGAAGGAAAGAAACCGGAGGACAGGGAATTGTTGAAAAGTAAGGTAATGGTGGGTAAAAGGATATCAAGGATAGGTAAAATCATATTACGACTAATGCTATCTGTGCCAATGGCGTTTGACGATATAAACCGTAAACTCTTTTCAACATCACAATCGGTCAACTGATCAAAAATAAAAGGAGTACAATTAGGGGCGATAATGGATGAAAGATAGTGCAATGTCTTAGATTTTACATTGCTGTCCATGACAGTAGAAGTACAAAAATGATTATTAAGACACTCAACATCAAGATTACCAGGATTATCGTTATGACTCTTACCAACCCCTAATGACTTAAGAAATTTCCAAACTTTTGCTGCATCACCATTTTCTACGGATTTATGAATGTGGCGTCGTTGAGCCTCCCTACACACCCTGTTGCAGAGATTTCTAGTATTGATGTACTCATTACGATGTCTGTCCGGATCCGACTTATATTTAGTTTTAGCAATATTTTTTTTGTGGATTATGGACTTGATCTTGTCTGTAAGCCAAGGTGCAGGTAAATGCTTAACCCTGACCGGGCGGATGGGAGCATGTTTATCGTACAGATCTAAAATGAATTTATTAAATAATTCTACCTGATCATTAATATTTGCTGCTGTACCGATACTCGACCAATCACAATCCGCAGCATCGTGACGTAAACGGTCAATATCAATAGCACCAAAATTGCGCTGCATAAGGATTTTCCGTTTAACTTTGGGAGGACGTATTTTATAAGACAGATAAATGAGGTTATGGAAGGAAAATGCATCTGCAGGATATTGGTCATGTTTCGCAATATGGTCAGGAGAGGAGACTAAAATCAAATCAAGTAAGGAAGGATTACAGTTAGGAAAGAAATGGGTGGCTTGGAGGGGCAGGATCTCTAGATTGCAAGCATGGGCCAGAGACTTAAGACGATTCGCACGCAGGTCATTTTTAAGAAGGCAAGTATTAAAGTCCCCCATAATAATAGTGTGATTATAGGACGGGATTAGGTTCTCTAAGAGGCTTTCAAAAGAGGAAAAATAATCAGTAGTGGAAGATGGACTATAGAAAACTCCTAGTAGAACCTTGGTATGACAGAGAGTTATTTCAAGGAAAAGGTGTTCAAAATTGCAGGAAGAATTTATCGTTAAAGAAGAGTTAATAATAGCGTAAGGGATATCAGAACGAAGATATACAGCAACACCACCACCAACCCTTCCGGTGCGATCACAACGAATTAAATTAAAACCGGGTAAGGAATAGGAAGTAGATGGAAGGCAGGGCTTCAACCATGACTCCGAGATAAATATGCCATGGAGGTTATTTACATTAAATGTAGATAGCAAGTCCGAATAATGTGCAGGAATACTTTGGGCATTTATGTGAACGGTGTTAAAGTTTTTAGGATGAGAAGAAAAATTAGTTTTTAAGATTTCTTCTAAAGGAGTAGGCAAACTATGAAAACTTACATTGCTAGAAGAAGAAACGGATAGAAATGTATCATCAGAATCGGATTCTGAAACCATGTATGTATGTGTATAAGACAATACTAATATATATATATATATATATATATATATATATATATATATATATATATATATATATATATAAATATATAAACACAAAAAAATTCTTTATACAAATAGAAAAACTTCAATTCATCTACCTGCCAGTAGTGGACTACGAAATTGACTAAAAAAAGGAAAAAAAAAATATATTTGGATAAAATCCACAATAAAAAAAAACAGTATTAATATAAAAAAAGTAAAACAGTAAATTGTTTTTGTTTTGGCATTGGCGGCAACATTAAATTAGCAAATATAATAATACGTGTAGATACAGAAGAATACAGCGTAAGGACAGCCAAACTTATTTAGATAGCTGAATAGATATAAACTTGCTACATTCGAGCCCCCAACAGTAGTATGATTATATTGTTACCCATCTAATTAAAAAAAAAATAAATAAATAAATAAAAATACATGTATTCTATCTATGTTGAGGAACTGTCAATCTAATCTATCATATCTGTTATTCTGAATGAGTTGTCAAAGAAAACAAACCAAAACATAATTTTGAAAGTTATAAATGCCATAATATAATGAGAATTTTTATAAAATTTTTTAACATACCCCGTAAAGATTACAATAATTGATGAATAGTTTACCTTATATAAGTTTGTAAAAAAAAAAAAGAAATTATAATATACCCACAACAAGAATATTGCCACCAAAACCATCACAATAATCTGCACAACAGCTCACTTCTTCATGACACGCTTGGAACGCGAGGAACCCGTACCAGCCAAATCCATGGTCTTCGAGACGGCCAAGGAGTCCGCTGACACGGATACAACGTCTTCAACAGCAATTGGCGACAGGTTAATAAGTTGGTCAACTTCAGCAATGGAACTAACACGATGCCTCTTACCATCCGAACCAATGATAACCACGATGCCATTTCGTGTCCAGCATTTCGTGATACCAAAGTGTTTCCGTGCCTTCATAAAAGCGTCGTGTCTTGCTTTTGTAAGAAACTCGGACAATGTAATTCCGCTATTTTTAAATTCGGTTTTTGCAGACCAAATCTTGTCTCTCACATCAGCACAACGAAATTTGACTAAAATAGGCCGGAGTTTCCCTTGTGACAAACGACTAATACGATGGATCCTGCTTATATCTTCTGGCGAAATTGGCATCTTAAGTTTCTTAGTGAGAAGGCTGGAGACTAGCATGGATAAGCCACATTCACTATTCTCACGAACCCCATGCAGCAATAGGATTTTGCGACGACTATGCATCTCCAAGCGATCCTGTTGTTGTGCGATGATATGTACCTGCTGTTGAAGATTGTTCAATGACTCTGCCATAAGAGACTTAAACTGTGCAAAATCCGTAGATAATGACGGGAGCAGCACTGGCCTTATCTAATTTGTCTTGAAATGCTGCCATCCTAGTGTTAAAGTTCACCATCATTTGTTCCAAGGACTGTTGTACAGACTCCATTTAAAATAAAAATATTGGTATCTTAGGATTAAAAATAGACGGAGATATCACCACTGCAGGTAGACAACTACTAAATTTATACTTTAAACATAAAATATAACAATAATAAGTATTATTTTGAATTTAAATAAATTAATAGTCCAGAGCAACAATATTTGATAGTTAGTGCTACACAGCTACCCACAAAAAAAAAATTATATTTTGATAATTTTTAGAAATTATGTCTACTTTTAATATTACAGGGTACAGATGTATAACACCTTAGTCCGGGGGGCAAGGGATTGTTAGTAATGGAGACTGAGAATCCCATTGCTAGCAATATACCCAACCAGGTCGACCTCCTCGCGGTTCTCCCTGGAAACTATCATGGTTAATTCCTGATGGTCTAACATATCATATCATGATGGGCCAACTGGCCTGTTTTCAGTCTCATCTATCACCCTTCACTGGTGCTCCACCAGCGTATCCCGTTAGCGCAAGCGGGGGGTTACCATACCATTTTCACCCATAAAAAAACACAGGACATTGGCAGTGCATAAGAGGTACCATGAATATCAGAGTGTATTCTGTAATAACCATGGTGTATATGGTGGCTAAATATGTATAAACAGTCACCATTTTCCATGTGGTCCCGACATAGAAACCCCTTCCTTTCTAGTGGATGTCGTTATAGGTGACTAAGGGATTTTTATTTTCGAGGAAAAGGCAGCAGCGTCTCTATTAAAACATCACCCAAAAGCCTGACTGCGGTTGCCAATCCGTATGTCAAGTATGTAAACCTCCCTTATGAAGGAAACCAATTCATCAATGTACTGTTAAAAGCCGATATGATGATGACATTGAAATCCATGTCCATCATTATCCATCAATTGTTTAAAAATACTGTTCCAATTAGTATTGTATTATTGCCGTTTACTGTCCACTGCTGGACATAGTTCTCCCCCTATTGGGAAGTTTTGCCAGTAGTTGCCAAGCTTGGCAGGCGGGTTGGCAACCGCTACTATTGCATACTTACAGATATCCCAATATTTTTGGCAAGAGTTGAATCCGTTATATTGGCGAAGGGCTTATCGGCCCCCCAGCATTCCACATACTTCGTCATCTTGCTAGAAGGACGAGACCTCGACGGCACACCGGGAGTTGCTGCAACAGAGCCCTCTGGTGACTTTCGTGAACAAAACAACAGTCGGCTAAAGAGATCTGTCTAAAATGCAAGGAAATCAAAGGGAATAATCTATACTTATAATAAATCTGTAGAGAGGTTAATTCTGTACATGAAATATATTTCCAAAATAACTATCAGAAGGTGATTAGTGATCGATACTGATGCCAAAAATGCAATCAGTAAAATTATTGTCTGTCTGTCTGTATGTTCGTTATAGAAACAAAAACTACTCGACGGATTTTAACGAAACTTTGTACAATTGTTTTTATACTCCTGGGCAGGTTTTAAGTATACTTTTCATCACGCTACGATCAATAGGAGCAGAGCAGTGAACCAGGGAAATGTTGGGAAAACGAGAGAAGTTACTCCATTTTTAAGCTTCCGTCGCGTGTGCAACCTTAATGGCCACTTTTTAAAATATAAAAATGTCCACCCGTGCGACGCCTGGACGGGCCGCTAGTGTAATAATAATAAAAGATAATTTTAAACTTTCACATACATATGTACGTGTGTGTCAATAACACATATTTTAAATACCCTTAACGCAATGATTACCTACCGAAGGAAATTCTCGTTTCGGTTGTCTTTTTTATGTTTGTTACTTATAACATAAGGTTGTCTGTAAGAGATCGCCCTAGCGATAAGACAGCCTTTTGTACCTTTATATGTATATGTTAACCTGTACTTCATGCTACTGTATTACAGTTGAATTGTTTATATGTCATTGTTTTGTTAAAATGTTTTTAGTGCAATAAATAAGACTTTGTACAAAAGTCTATTGCTTGGGCACCTCTGTCGCATTCGTGTTTCTACCGTGAGGCAGTTATATTTGCATGGCTGTGTTTCGGTTTGAAGGATGGTAAATGACGTGAATCTATAGGGTACAGAGAAATAACACCTAAATCCTTAGGAATGGCAATGCATGGAGGGTATCATACGCAAAACAGTATACACTGTTATGTCCATGGTACTGCTCATGTTTATAGGCGACGGTTACCACTTTACATCAGGTGGGCCGTCAGCTTGTTTGCGATTCTAAATTGTATAAAAAAAAATACTCGTAAACTCCGTTAGTTGTAAACCGATTTGGAAAATTATTATTTTTAATCTAAAAGGATATGATTACAAATTAGTTCTATAGAAATTCTATCAAAATCGGTTTAATAGTTTAGATTTTAAATAAAAAATAACTAACTGGTTATGCCACAATTGAAGTCGTTTTCTTTTTTTTTAACACAATTCATTTATTTCCATAATCACTCAATTCCTGAAATAGATACGTAGATACATAATGAACTAAGATTTAGACTAAATGATAAATAATGCAACATTGATTTTAAATGTTTCAGATGCAAGGTATATATATTAATGAAATTCATTAATTTATAAATGACATATATATTTTTATATAGTTTAACCCCAACACTTCAGTACATAAGGTAAATGCATTTAATACATGCTTACATTTTATGGTATTCTATACATGCGTCTCTATGATTTTCGTATTTTTTCTTGTCAAATTTAATAGACATGGATAATTAGAAATACAAATTTAATAAAAAAATTAATGTTATTAACATTATTCACAACATATAAAATTAAATAACGATATAAAATAACGAGCAATTAACTAACGTAGCGACTCAACGGAAATTGTACTTAACATCCTATAAAATAAGGTCGGTTGTAGAGTCTCAGTTGTGGACGGTGTCGAGTCACCAGAACAATCCTCTGGAGGAAAAATTTAGATAATTACTTTTAAGGGAATATTACAACATTACTTTTTAAACAATAATGTAAAGAGATTCCGTTGAAGATTAAATATCATTTTAATTACATGTCTAAGCTCTTTTTAATATAAAAAAACTTCAAAGAATTAGGTATATAATAAATTAAATTAATAATTCCACTACTGTATTCGATTAATTCGAACCAAATTCATTATTAGAATTTTTTTGGATGAAGCTCCTTTAATCTATAGCTCTAGATGTACATTTATTAAAAAATATACCTACATATAAATATTAATAAAAAATTCTTTAAAATAAATAGTAAAAAATATAATTTCTATTATATTATAATTATTATATTTAACTATTAATTAAAATAATAAGTCTCAAAATATCAGATCAATAACTAAAATTAATTAAGTAGTATACTTTGGGATACATTGTTTTAAAATAAAATGCAATATTTGATTTTGTATTTTTGTGACTTTTCAATTTAATAAATTACATTACACATTATTAAATTGCGTAATTGTTAATTAATTAATCAAGGTAAATTTTTTTTATTTATTTATATAATATTTGTTATTTTACCAACATGTTTCCCTCAACAGACTTCAAAAGTTCTTAATTCAAATATATTTTCTGTGTGCAATATTTTCATCATTTTATAAACCGAACTTAATGATTCTTTTTTTAATATAAAATCATATTGATTTTTGTATACGTCTCGTTTTTTTTAATTTTATGAATAGAGTCATCATCGTCATAATTTCAGCCATTATCCGTCCGCTGCTGGACATATGCCTGCCCCGTAGATTGAATAGAGTACTTTCTACTAAACGTTCACGTAATTATGAAAACAATGAAAATGTACCTGTTCCCATAATAGGACTGATAGCACCGATTATGGATCCGCTCCGACTCTTCGGTTTAGTGGTGACCACCATCCCATTGCCGAGTCCTTCACCAGGGCTGGTAGCGGGATTGTTGTTCTCGAATGCTACTGTTTTTGATTCCACCTTGACTGACGCTCTGCGACTTAGATCTGGAAACGAATAGTATTTATTACTATGGCATTTAGTAGACAGAAATTTTGCACAAACGTTTCCTGTTTGGATTCTTCTGTCTCACTCGTGTTCACTGGCGGGTTTTTCTATTTTTTTTTATACAACTTTGAATAGCAAACAAGCTCAAGACTCAAGTGTTATTCCTCTGTACCCTGTAAATTCACGCCATAGCCCACCCTTCAAACCGAAACACAGTCATGCAAACACAACTGCTTCACGGTAGAAATACGAATGGGACAGAGGTACCCAAGCAATCGACTTTTGTACAAAAGGAGGTTTATGTTCAGCAGTGGACAGTTGACGGCTGATATGATACGATGATGATTACGATTTTTTATACCACTGAGGTGGCAATCAAGCATACGGCCCACCTGATGGTAAGTGGTTACTTTAGCCTATGAACGTCTGCAATACCAGAGGTATTACGCGCGCGTTGCCGACCCTGAAAAAACCTCTTTACCCCCTTTTTGAAGAACCCCATGCTGTAGTCTTCTGGGAAACCTTAGCAGGGAGCTCATTTCATAACCTGAGTGTTCGTGGGAGAAAACATCTCTGAAAGCGCGTTGTACGCGACCATTTAGGCTGTAGAGTATGAGGATGAACTTCTTGTTGATGGCGAGCCGTATGATGACAGAAAGTGGCCGTGGGCATCATAATGATTGCAAGGTTTCAGCTTATTTTACCTTTTCTTTACGAGCTGATAATATTATTTTATTTGTATTGATACGATGTTAATTTACGAGAAAGCAGAATCACTTCAACCCTTTTATTTCCTTGCCTATAAAACACCGAACAACAGTGCTGGGTTTTAATAAATTTAAATCCGTTGAACTCCGAACACAAATTGAATATCTCAGATTTCAATGAACGAATCAAATCCTTTTATCCACTTGTTATTTCGAAACGCAAAAGAAATTGTGATTCACAATTTAGAATTGGCTTCGAGAAGTTTCCGAGAATATCACAGTATCTAACGTAATTGTTTAAATAGATTAACATAAAATTGTTTTACATTTGTATTCAATAAAGAATGTTACAATTTATATTATAGAAAAATGTAAAAATGGATAGATAGATACTCTTTATTGTTTCCTCCATAAGATTATAATAGTAAACTTATTATAAATATAAACAATTACAAGAAAATATTACACTGAGAAAACAATGGGCGGCCTTATCGCTAAAAGCGATCTCTTCCAGACAACCTTTGGATGGAGAAGAGTAATTATAAAATTCGATTATGTTTCTACCGTGAAGCAGTTGTGTTTGCATGGCTGTATTTCAGTTTGAAGGGCGTGAATTTACAGGGTACAGCTAAATAACATCTGAGTCCTCAGGAATGGCAACGCATGGGTATCATGAACGAAACAGTATACTCTGTTATGTCCATGGTACTGCACATGTCTATAGGCGACGGAGTTTTCATCAGGTGGGCCGTCAGCTTGTTTGCCATTCTAAGTTGTATAAAAAAACTTACCATCAGGTGAGCCGTATGTTCGTTTACCTCCTATGTTATAAAAATGGATTTGGTATGGAAAATGCCAGCCAACTAATATATCCTAGTCATGTACGAATTCACGGATAATTACTAGTGTATCAATAAAATGTACCTCCTGGAGTAGTCCTCATAGACTCCGTTCGTAGTACCTTCGGCATCAGATCTTGCTCCATAAAGCTGTTCTGGGACGGTGCCGGGCTGATGTTATCTTTGAGTCTGGTGGGTGAAACGTCCTGGTATATCGACGATACGATGCTGGCTTTGCGGTCGACAGTACAAACTGATAGACGGCCATTTTCTGATGGTTTCTGCGAAGCAAGATATTTTTTTATTAATTTACATAAATACATTTATTTACAAGCTTTCTTTTTTTCTTTATAATTTTTAATAATAATAATATTTTTAATATAATATAAAAAAATGGCATTCCTGCATAAACTACGTTATAAAATATGTTTACGACGCTTTGCCTTTACTTATGTTGACATTTCCCTTGTATCTAAATAGTTTTTTGTTTGATATTATTTATTATATATTATATACACCAGAGGGAGACTTTCTACAAAAATCAAAAAGCAGATCAGTTAGCCCATCGTGAAGAATACATCTGGGTTTGATGATGGTTTCAAGGGGGAACCACGTGGAGGTCGATCTGACAGGGTATATTACTAGCAAATTGACAGGTAGCCTACATTACTAATAATGATTTTTTGATGAAATCGAAACAATTCTGGGAAATAACAAAATATAAAATTAAATTAACTTCCTGTAGTTAATTGAATTTTCGCTGTCCAGTTTAGAAGAAGGGATTGTTAGTAATGTGGACTCTACCAGTCCAAGTGCTAGTATACTCTGCAAGGTCAGCCTCCCCGTGGTCCCTATGAAAACCATCGCGCTGAATTCGAAGTGTATTAGGCATATTATGTTTTATTTATACAACTTAGAATAGCAAACAAGCCGACGGCCCACCTTATGGAAAGTGGCAACCCTGTGCTAACTGGCCTGTCTTTTAATTCTTACTTTTATTTTATCCCTCACTGGTGGCTCATCAACAGTTAGCGCAGACGGGGTTACCATTCCATTATCATTCATTAAAAAAAACACTGTCCAGTTCAAACATTGAATGTATTAATCAAATTTAATGTAAAATTTATTTTTACCCATGCTTTTTCTTAATATTGTTTACGACAACATGTTAATGGATATGAAACCATATAAATAACGTGGTTTCGATATTTCAATATTCACAAATTATCCGGAGGAATAAAATCGTAACGAAACAGGAAAATAGAAAGAAAGAAGGAATATATGTGTGTGTACGTATATATGTATTATATTATTTGTTGTATAAATAGTATTTAATAAATAATATATATTTAAGTTTTTGTATTTTATGCTACTGTATTTGACTTAATTTTTTTTTATTTTATTTATATTTTTGGCGTAATATAATAATTAAATAAATTAAAAAAAAATAACCTCTACTTTTAAAATGACTTAGTATATCGGTATATTATTATGTACTTCTCTAGACATCTGTCCGATTCTGAATAAGGGTCTAAGGGTATGCGACCCCGGCCTCCCGAGCCGCTGCAGTGTCCCAGTCTTTTCGCAACTGCAGTGTCCGCCCCCTTTTCCTTTCCCATAAAGTCCCTTATTCCTCTTATTCACCAATTTCCTTTACGCATTTCCAACGTTCCCTTCCTTTTTCCTCAATCCTTTCCTTCATACCGCAGGTGGCGGAAACCACCAACAAATGCATCCCCAAAGAGAAGTATTACGATGAATTGATATTATTTCCCGTTGGAAAGTTTTTTATACCACGAAGGTGAAATTAGCATACAGCCCATCTGATGGTAAATGGTCTTTGTAGCCTTATAATATATATAGAAGCCTGCAATACTTTTTTTTAATGGATGAAAATGGCATGGTAACCCCACCTGCACTATCGGTATACACTAGTGGGGTACAAGTGAGAGGCGATAAAGTGAGGATTAAGAGGCAGGTCAATTAGCCGATGATAAATTAGTCACGATAGTTTCCAGGAAGTACCGCGTGGAGGTCCACCTGATAGGGTATATTGATATTTTTTTTGTATACAACTTAGAATGGCAAACAAGCTGGCGGTCCATCTGATGGAAAGTGGTAACCGTCGCCATAACAGAGTATACTGTATACTGTTTCGCCCATGCGTTGCTATTCCTGAGGATTCAGATATTATGCCTCTGTACCCTGTAAATTCACTGCCATATCCCTTTAAACCGAAACACAGCCATGCAAACACAACTGCTTCAAGGTATAGAAACACGAATGGGACAGAGATGCCTAAGCAAATGACTTTTGTACAAAGTCTCCCTCTGGTGTGTTAGTGGTAAAATATATATCCAAATATGAATATACACAAATTATTTTTAATAGCAAAATTAAAATTCTGCACAGTAAAGTAATAAAGGATTCTATCTCGTTTACGTAATTGGCTTATCTGTAAAGTGAACGCTGTATCAAGTTAGCGTCCCTGACTGACTCTAATAAGGTAGAGACTCGAAATACAATGCTATTATTTACATCAATTCCAGCAAAAGAGTGCTTCATATTTGCATTCTAAATTTCAATTCAACAAAATTAATATTTCTCTCTCCTACCACCTTAAATATATACAATCTATACTTATAATAAATCTGTAGAAAGAAATCTGTACATGAAATATATTTCCAAAATAACTATCAGGAGGTGATTAGTGATCGATACTGATGCCAAAAATGCAATCAGTTAAATTATTGTTTGTCTCTCTTTATGTTCGTTATAGAAACAAAAACTACTCGACGAATTTTAACGAAACTTGGTACAATTATTCTTTATACTCCCAGGAGTATAAAGAATAATTGTGCCAGGCAGGTTATAGTATACTTTTCATCACGCTACGATAAGATAGATATACGATATGATAGGAGCAGAGCAGTGAAGGGAAATGTGTCTGTTACATCAAAACCATTGAGCCGTGAGGAAGGACATAGGCTACTTATTTTACGATTAACGACGGAAACGCGGACGATGTCGCGGGCAACAGCTAGTATATAATAAATTTAATATCCATTCATACGAATAAATAATAGGCACTATAATTAATTATATTATAATTTATTTTATTTCTTTAATACCTGTATTTGTATGTGTACAAGGCGGACATGATTCTAAAAGCAAAATGACATTTTTGATGACTAAGACGTAATCAGATTTGTAATTAATTAAGAAGTAATTTCTTCTTACATCAGAAATTGTTATGCCTCTAGTATTAGAGATCGTTACGCCTCGTTTATAAGAGAATGTTATTTAAAAATGCAATCAAAATTTCGTAAGTACACATTATATTTTATTGTAATAAATAATTTAAATTTCTCAAATTAATTACACATAAGTTAAACTGGTATTTATTACATTAAAATAAAATATGCCAGAAATTCTTGAGCGCCTGTTTGATATTGTCACTTCTCTTATATCAGAGATTGCATTAAGAACCATTTCCTATAAGAAGATACTTTGTATAGTAACATCCTAATGGCTTATTTAAATAAAATCTAATTTAAACTCTTACAAACAAAATTTTATTTACAAGTATAAAATAAAATAATCCTATGATTAGCTAGATATTATGAAACGTCCAATCACACTACACCGATTCAAGAGAACACCGTAATAATATCAATACGATTGGAATCGTATCGGAAATTGACTTCACTCGTGTCCGATGTATCGATATCGAGTCACACGATCGAGCACGCAATTTGATCGCGTACGAAACCATGAATATAGATGGTTTATTTATTCACGTTCTATTTGGCACATCTCTATATATTTTTACTGCATACCTAAATAGGTACTTACTTATAAATATAAGTAAGTAAATTATGTTTATTTCGACCGACTTCCTAAAAAAGAAGAATTCGGTTATAGTTTTTTTTTTTTGTAATTTGTGTTTTTAGTGTGTAAAAATTGACTCTGTCAATTCTAAACCTATTTAGAAATTATTTTTTTATGTGAAAGATTGGTTTTGAAGAAAAATTAACAAATTTTTAGACTTGTTTAGACAAGTTTAGACTAGTAACTTGTCCAAACTGAAGTCAAGTTCAAGTTCAAGTTCAAGTTCAAGTTCAAGTTCAAGTTCAAGTTCAAGTTCAAGTTCAAGTTCAAGTTCAAGTTCAAGTTCAAGTTCAAGTTCAAGTTCAAGTTCAAGTTCAAGGGCAAGGGCAAGGGCAAGGGCAAGGGCAAGGGCAAGGGCAAGGGCAAGGGCAAGGGCAAGGGCAAGGGCAAGGGCAAGGGCAAGGGCAAGGGCAACTTCAGCTTCTGCTTCTGCTTCTGCTTCTGCTTCTGCTTCTGCTTCTGCTTCTGCTTCTGCTTCTGCTTCTGCTTCTGCTTCTTTTTTTTTTTTTTTTTTTTTTTTTTTCATTACATTTTTTTTAATTTACCGCTCGTTCGGAAAGCTGTCTCATCACAAGAAGAACGAGCAAGAAACTTGCGTGATGCTCTTTTAAATAATTTTATTATTATTTTACATTTTTAAGTTTAATTGTGTGAATACAAACCACCAATTAGCACTAATTCAATTAAATACTCAAAAAGAAAAAAAAAATTGAATACATAACCAACTGGTTAAACAATTAATAAGAGGAAATCAGTCATAGTGATTAGTGAACGGGTGCTGCTTGTAGGGACTGGCCCTACAAGCAGCACCCGTTCACGAGTATGACGGATGAGCCAGCCATCACTGCGCTCGACCATATTTTAGGGAGCCCAATGACCCGGCCCACCACGCCGCCACAAGTCTGGACATTTTAGTGAGCATGACTACTCAAAACACTAGACCACGTCAAAGCTACTCACAATTGCCATCTGATAGTTATAGTATTCACATTTTACATAAGAATGCATGCGGCAATTAATACAAAAAACCGCTACGCTTTCATATTTCTAAAATTAATCAATTAAATCAAGAAAGCAATGAGAAAATAAAATTATAACGTTGTATGCTAATAAACTAATTATTTACTTGATATGTTGTCATCTATGAATTCGTCTATCCTGTAATAGGCTTTCTTACATAAAAATTGTTTAATATAAGATTTGAATTGCCTCTCTGTCAGATTTAATGCAGATTCCGGCAGTTTATTATAAAATCTTATGCAATTACCATAGAATGAATTACTGATTTTGTGTAGACGGCATTTAGGTAAAATAAGCTTATTTATATTGCGTAAGTTTCTACTTGTACAGTCTTTGAGTTTTTTAAAACTCGCTAAGTTCTTCCGTGTAT